AACTAATTATAACCAGAGCTAGAGGTAATACAGTAAATAACAACAACAAGGTAACTAATTATAACCAGAGGTAATACAGTAAATAACAACAACAAGGTAACTAATTATAACCAGAGGTGATACAGTAAATAACAACAACAAGGTAACTAATTATATAACCAGAGGTAATACAGTAAATAACAACAACAAGGTAACTAAGTATAACCAGAGCTAGAGGTAATACAGTAAATAACAACAACAAGGTAACTAATTATATAACCAGAGGTAATACAGTAAATAACAACAACAAGGTAACTAATTATAACCAGAGGTGATACAGTAAATAACAACAACAAGGTAACTAATTATATAACCATAGGTAATACAGTAAATAACAACAACAAGGTAACTAATTATAACCAGAGGTAATACAGTAAATAACAACAACTAGGTAACTAATTATAACCAGAGGTAATACAGTAAATAACAACAGCAAGGTAACTAATTATAACCAGAGGTAATACAGTAAATAACAACAACAAGGTAACTAATTATAACCAGAGGTAATACAGTAAATAACAACAGCAAGGTAACTAATTATAACCAGAGGTAATACAGTAAATAACAACAACTAGGTAACTAAGTATAACTAGAGGTAATACAGTAAATAACAACAACAAGGTAACTAATTATAACCAGAGGTAATACAGTAAATAACAACAACAAGGTAACTAATTATATAACCAGAGGTAATACAGTAAATAACAACAGCAAGGTAACTAATTATAACCAGAGGTAATACAGTAAATAACAACAACAAGGTAACTAAGTATAACCAGAGGTAATACAGTAAATAACAACAACTAGGTAACTAAGTATAACCAGAGGTGATACAGTAAATAACAACAGCAAGGTAACTAATTATAACCAGAGCTAGAGGTAATACAGTAAATAACAACAACAAGGTAACTAAGTATAACCAGAGGTAATACAGTAAATAACAACAACAAGGTAACTAAGTATAACCAGAGGTAATACAGTAAATAACAACAACTAGGTAACTAAGTATAACCAGAGGTGATACAGTAAATAACAACAGCAAGGTAACTAATTATAACCAGAGCTAGAGGTAATACAGTAAATAACAACAACAAGGTAACTAATTATAACCAGAGGTAATACAGTAAATAACAACAACAAGGTAACTAAGTATAACCAGAGGTAATACAGTAAGTAACAACAACAAGGTAACTAATTATAACCAGAGGTAATACAGTAAATAACAACAACAAGGTAACTAAGTATAACCAGAGGTAATACAGTAAATAACAACAACAAGGTAACTAATTATATAACCAGAGGTAATACAGTAAATAACAACAACTAGGTAACTAATTATAACCAGAGGTAATACAGTAAATAACAACAACAAGGTAACTAATTATATAACCATAGGTAATACAGTAAATAACAACAACAAGGTAACTAATTATAACCAGAGGTAATACAGTAAATAACAACAACAAGGTAACTAATTATATAACCAGAGGTAATACAGTAAATAACAACAACTAGGTAACTAATTATAACCAGAGGTAATACAGTAAATAACAACAACAAGGTAACTAATTATAACCAGAGCTAGAGGTAATACAGTAAATAACAACAACAAGGTAACTAATTATAACCAGAGGTAATACAGTAAATAACAACAACAAGGTAACTAAGTATAACCAGAGGTAATACAGTAAGTAACAACAACAAGGTAACTAATTATATAACCATAGGTAATACAGTAAATAACAACAACAAGGTAACTAATTATATAACCAGAGGTAATACAGTAAATAACAACAACTAGGTAACTAAGTATAACCAGAGGTAATACAGTAAATAACAACAGCAAGGTAACTAAGTATAACCAGAGGTAATACAGTAAATAACAACAACAAGGTAACTAATTATAACCAGAGGTAATACAGTAAATAACAACAACAAGGTAACTAATTATAACCAGAGGTAATACAGTAAATAACAACAACAAGGTAACTAAGTATAACCAGAGGTAAGACAGTAAATAACAACAACAAGGTAACTAATTATAACCAGAGCTAGAGGTTATACAGTAAATAACAACAACAAGGTAACTAATTATAACCAGAGGTAATACAGTAAATAACAACAGCAAGGTAACTAATTATAACCAGAGGTGATACAGTAAATAACAACAACAAGGTAACTAAGTATAACCAGAGGTAATACAGTAAATAACAACAGCAAGGTAACTAAGTATAACCAGAGGTAATACAGTAAGTAACAACAACAAGGTAACTAATTATATAACCATAGGTAATACAGTAAATAACAACAACAAGGTAACTAATTATATAACCAGAGGTAATACAGTAAATAACAACAACTAGGTAACTAAGTATAACTAGAGGTAATACAGTAAATAACAACAGCAAGGTAACTAATTATAACCAGAGGTGATACAGTAAATAACAACAACAAGGTAACTAAGTATAACCAGAGGTAATACAGTAAATAACAACAGCAAGGTAACTAAGTATAACCAGAGGTAATACAGTAAGTAACAACAACAAGGTAACTAATTATATAACCATAGGTAATACAGTAAATAACAACAACTAGGTAACTAAGTATAACTAGAGGTAATACAGTAAATAACAACAACTAGGTAACTAAGTATAACTAGAGGTAATACAGTAAATAACAACAACAAGGTAACTAATTATAACCAGAGGTGATACAGTAAATAACAACAACAAGGTAACTAAGTATAACCAGAGCTAGAGGTAATACAGTAAATAACAACAGCAAGGTAACTAAGTATAACTAGAGGTAATACAGTAAATAACAACAACTAGGTAACTAAGTATAACTAGAGGTAATACAGTAAATAACAACAACAAGGTAACTAAGTATAACCAGAGGTAATACAGTAAGTAACAACAACAAGGTAACTAATTATATAACCATAGGTAATACAGTAAATAACAACAACAAGGTAACTAATTATATAACCAGAGGTAATACAGTAAATAACAACAACTAGGTAACTAAGTATAACTAGAGGTAATACAGTAAATAACAACAGCAAGGTAACTAATTATAACCAGAGGTGATACAGTAAATAACAACAACAAGGTAACTAAGTATAACCAGAGGTAATACAGTAAATAACAACAGCAAGGTAACTAAGTATAACCAGAGCTAGAGGTAATACAGTAAGTAACAACAACAAGGTAACTAATTATATAACCATAGGTAATACAGTAAATAACAACAACAAGGTAACTAATTATATAACCAGAGGTAATACAGTAAATAACAACAACTAGGTAACTAAGTATAACCTAGAGGTAATACAGTAAATAACAACAACTAGGTAACTAAGTATAACCAGAGGTAATACAGTAAATAACAACAACAAGGTAACTAATTAAATAACCAGAGGTGATACAGTAAATAACAACAACAAGGTAACTAAGTATAACCAGAGGGTAATACAGTAAATAACAACAGCAAGGTAACTAAGTATAACCAGAGGTAATACAGTAAATAACAACAGCAAGGTAACTAATTATAACCAGAGGTAATACAGTAAATAACAACAACTAGGTAACTAAGTATAACCAGAGCTAGAGGTGATACAGTAAATAACAACAACAAGGTAACTAATTATATAACCAGAGGTAATACAGTAAATAACAACAACAAGGTAACTAATTATAACCAGAGGTGATACAGTAAATTACAACAACAAGGTAACTAATTATAACCAGAGGTAATACAGTAAATAACAACAACTAGGTAACTAATTATATAACCAGAGGTAATACAGTAAATAACAACAACTAGGTAACTAAGTATAACCAGAGGTGATACAGTAAATAACAACAACAAGGTAACTAAGTATAACCAGAGCTAGAGGTAATACAGTAAATAACAACAACAAGGTAACTAATTATAACCAGAGGTAATACAGTAAATAACAACAACAAGGTAACTAATTATAACCAGAGCTAGAGGTAATACAGTAAATAACAACAACAAGGTAACTAATTATAACCAGAGGTAATACAGTAAATAACAACAGCAAGGTAACTAATTATAACCAGAGGTGATACAGTAAATAACAACAACAAGGTAACTAAGTATAACCAGAGGTAATACAGTAAATAACAACAGCAAGGTAACTAATTATAACCAGAGGTAATACAGTAAATAACAACAACAAGGTAACTAAGTATAACCAGAGGTAATACAGTAAATAACAACAGCAAGGTAACTAATTATAACCAGAGGTGATACAGTAAATAACAACAACAAGGTAACTAAGTATAACCAGATGCAGAGGTAATACAGTAAATAACAACAGCAAGGTAACTAATTATAACCAGAGGTAATACAGTAAATAACAACAACAAGGTAACTAAGTATAACCAGAGGTAATACAGTAAATAACAACAGCAAGGTAACTAATTATAACCAGAGGTAATACAGTAAATAACAACAACAAGGTAACTAATTATATAACCAGAGGTAATACAGTAAATAACAACAACAAGGTAACTAAGTATAACCAGAGGTAATACAGTAAATAACAACAACAAGGTAACTAAGTATAACCAGAGGTAATACAGTAAATAACAACAGCAAGGTAACTAATTATAACCAGAGGTAATACAGTAAATAACAACAACAAGGTAACTAATTATATAACCAGAGGTAATACAGTAAATAACAACAACAAGGTAACTAATTATATAACCAGAGGTAATACAGTAAATAACAACAACAAGGTAACTAATTATAACCAGAGGTAATACAGTAAATAACAACAACAAGGTAACTAATTATAACCAGAGGTAATACAGTAAATAACAACAGCAAGGTAACTAATTATAACCAGAGGTAATACAGTAAATAACAACAACAAGGTAATTTAGTATAACCAGAGGTAAGACAGTAAGTAACATAACAAATAAACAAACCAAGTTTGTGTTGACAGAGGTTGGAGAAGAGTTGTCTGAGAGCCTGAACTTCAGAGTACCTCAGAATCTCACAGTCAGGGTGAGGGGGAGGGTTTGATAATCTGATCAGATCTACTTCCGGAACCAGCACGTTACTTTCAACTTCACTCAACAGGAACCTGGAAAAGAGAACACGTTACTTTCTACTTCACTCAACAGGAACCTGCAAGAGAGAACTGGCTACATGATTTTCACAGTTGAAGTTGCCTCAATGGCTATTTTTGCAATGATCGGGGAAAATGGTGGAAGCTAAGAATCCCATAATTTGTGTAATGAATGGAGAGTGGCAATGATGATGACTGCTGACGCATCTCCACTCTCCAGAGTTTGTTAAATTAGAAGGAGCTAAGATTTACATCGGCCAATTTAAGATACAAGCCTCAGTTAATTACCCTAATTAACTAAATATACTAATTAATTAATTACTCAGATTAACTAATTACCCTGATTAACTAATTACCCTAATTAATTAACTACGCAGATTAACTAATTACCCTAATTAACTAATTAATTACTCAGATTAACTTATTACCATAATTGAATAATTAAATAATTGCATAATTAGCCTAATTAGCCTAATTAACCTAATTACTCTGATTACTCACGGTTCAGGAGCACATATTGGAGTCCTGATACCGAGTCTATCGTGGACACTTCTTCCTGGTTTCACTCCTGACAGAGACAAGCGCTCTTTTGCGGGCAATCTAAACAAACGTAATGTAAACAAACGAGGTCATTTATCATTAAAAATAGAGAATTTCATGAATATAATAAAGTATATCAACCTGGAAAAAACACTTGGCACAAGAATAATACCCAGCTAACTTAACTACGCGAGCTAACTAATATAAGGAGTTACTTGTGTTCCATCAAAGGGTCTCAACTACGATAACAGACAGAACAGCATACCTGACATGGTTGGGTGAACCAGCTAGTTTTCTATTCGGAGTTGGATCACTACGCCTACTTAGGATCACTCTTCTCTTACCTGCAAATTTTTCAACATCACTGACAAAGCGAAACATAAGTCTCTTGGAGAAATAGACCTAGGTTTTTAGGTTTCTGTGCCGAAATAAACTGCCTAGTTTGTGCCTGCCAATTTTCATAACGATCCCATGAGATCTTTAGGAAGAGTAGAGGATTGAAGTTTCAAAAATGATAATTTTTGGTGAATCGCGATTGAAAATGGCGCTTTTAATAGAAATATAAATATTCAAAACCCGTAACTTTAGTCAGGATCCGTATTGCATCAGGTAGGTCTTACTGTCGTCTTTTATAGGACACAATAAAATTAATGTCCACGGTCCAAAATATCGAGACCCTCCCCACATTAAAATCGGGATATTGAAAATAAGATAATTATATTAGTTACCGTTTCGGTTGCGCATTTTCGGCTCCTCAATGGACGAATCATCTTCTGTCTTTTTTTCGGTTTGAGACAAATCGCTACACGACAGGGTTTTTATCTGCTCCAGAGGCCTGAGGAGTTTAGTAGTTAATATCACCTTATGTGGACATCAAGTGACAGCAATTGACCAATTTAATGCAAGTATCGCTGTCAAGTGCCGAAACAAACTTTTCAATCTTGTCATAACAACCTACTTATTTGAGGATAAATCAATTCTTACACATTTATTATAGAACCTGTAAAGGCAGAAACGAAAGGCAGTTTAAAATTTCACCTCGGAACGAAAGGTTTAGCGTTGACGTTAAGTGTGGACGTCATTTCAAAACACGGCGCGTCAACATTCAGAGTGGATTTTGAGAGGATCTCATCTTCTTCATGATCTTCTTCTTCTTCTTCTTCTAATTCTTCTTCTGATAAAACACCTGATTGCGCAATTTAGATAAGGATAATCAACTTGTCAGAAAACGCATTTTGTACCGTTATACTCAGCTAAATCATGAACAAATAAAATCTTGAAGAGAATAAATATTGTGGTACCTAAACAAAAACAGCGATCATCCATTACAAATTCAAATTGCAGAATGACTATTAATCACGACCTTAAAATTGCAATTACAATGTGAGCTAAGCAATTTATTTAAATATCATGACTACTAACTATCATTGAGGTTGCTGTTCAATGTGCCGTTCCTGTAAATCTCCGATTTCTTCAGGTTTGCGTTCTCGATAGCTTTTTCCGTCTCGGCAGCTGTTTTTAAGTAAAGTAAGGAAATCAACGATTCTAAATCACTACCCGACGAAAACATGTCAAACAAATCTATCCAAGTCAGAGGCAACGAGAAAGCTATGTTATCATATTAAGAATGAGTGCAACCTAAGACGCGAGTTTGCTCCTTCGTAAAACTTTACATTCGTATATCTTCAGTTGCCAGAAAAATGGCAGAATGTAAGCGTTACCAGTGAAAATTAAATCCCAGAATCTTATAATGTCACATTATGTGGAGAATAAGAGAGCTTGCTGCTGTGTTGCACTCAAGTTGCACAATAATGGCGCACACTAACTTAGGATCTTAGTATTATACGTTAACAATAGCCGACACATCTTACAAAGTACTGCTAGATACAATTTCGTAACATACATTATACAATATACAATAAATACAAATACAATAAACATATTATATACATTAAACATGGTTCAGATCTTGTAGAATCACACAACAACTCATGTACCACTTAGCACCTACCACTAGCTGGTAGTTACCTTGGAAACAAGCATGCAGTTACCTTGGAAACAAGCTGGTCTCTTCCACTGAGAGATTTTAGTCTTCATGTTGTAGTAGTAGTATATCTGTCTCTTCTCACTGAATACCTGTACGTAGTCTGAAATAACAGGGTAACATTACCTTATTATATGGTAACACTACCATATAAAGTTATGTTGTAGTAGTAGTATATATATATATACCACTACTACAACTCCGTTATTTCAGATATATCTGAAATAACGGAGTTACTGGGGAGTTACTGGTTACGGAACACCAAGAATAATTAGACTTGCCCCCCCCCCCCCCCCCCCCCCCCCCATTAGACTTACTCGAAAGAATCGGTATTATATTAGAGAACCAAGCAAATTAACTTGTAAATAATAAACTGCAGCGAAGAGAAGTTTACCTCCTGCAGGATCCGATACAGTCTTATCAGCCATAGAATCTGATGTCATCCTGATCTTCTTTATATTTCTGATTTCTTCAGATGATAGCTTTGGAGACCGCTTTTTTGATGACTTATTCCGCTTTTTCTGATCTGGGAATTTATCGATTTGTTCAATTTTGAAATATTTCCGTCTTAACTGTGTTCTAAGAGAAATCTACGCGTGGTACTGCAAATAATGCATCAAAACTAACCGGAGATTGTTACTATGGTTACTATGGTTACTATGGTTACTATGGTAACACTTACTGGTTACTATGGTAACACTACCTGGAGATTGAGGAAGTCTGCCCTCTAAAGGTGCTAATTTTTCTTCTGCTGTATTTTTGTCTGGTTTGGAACCTGAAGAGCAGCTTGTTAATAAAACGAAATACGCATTAAAAAGGGGCAAAACTGCGTGTTCCTTTTCTCAGGATTACAACTATTTAAGGTAAAAGTAATTTTACCTCCGTTTAAGGGTACAGTTTCAGAGGAAGGTTTCCTTTTTGTTAGTTGCCACTCTGCTATCTGAAGTAATCTTAGATGAAGGAGAAATATTGCGTTACTTCGGTCTACAAATATAATGATGGTGATAAAACGATTTACCTTAATGAACGTATATACTATATAAGGTACGGTACAGTGAAGGATGGACACTTAATTTAACCTAACTTTATTATTTTCCAAAAAGATCACATTGTCATTACTCAAACAAAGGATAAAATACAAACTTTCTTTAGTTCATCTTCTGTCTCAAGGTAACCCTCAGGCTTCACCCAACTAGATTTCCGATTTTTTATGTTAACGTAAAATACCTGAAACAGCAACAATATATACACAGACAAGGTGTCAGACTAACGTTTCATGAAAATGGTAAAATAATGTTTATTTAATTAATAGTTTGCTTAATTTCACTGCCAGCAAACCCGGACGGATCTATGAATAGATAAAGTTGATAAAACACGTACTTTGTTTTTCCTGTCACTCCATCGGCAAAACCAGACTTTACTATCTTCCATCAAGTTATACTGAACATCTAAAACTAAAGAAGAGGAAATTAATTAGTGATTATTATTAACTAGAGTAATTAATTACAGTAACATAATTGGACGATACATTTATCCATAAACTTCATAACTATAAGTGGCCTAGAGAAAAAGGTGATAATTTTGTTTGGAAATATTCTGGATAAAATGATGATACGCTGTGTTAAAGTAAAATAAAATAAGTTAATAAGTTAAAAGAGATAAAAACATTAGAAACCATCCCCAATAAAATTAGTGTTACGGATAGTCATTACACTGATGTTGAATTGAAAAAATACCGCAACTGTATCTAAAAATCAAGGAAAATCCTAAAAAATCAAGAAAATTCCGGTACCTATCAAATAATATTCTAGAAAATTCTGGCTAGTTCTAGAAAGTTCTGATAAACATAAAGCTCCCATCTCTCTAGTAGTGAGAGTGAGACACACTCTCTAGTAGTGAGAGTGAGACACACACACTCTACTCTGACATTAACACGTGGGTAGACTGCTGAGAGTTGATGAGCTGTTTGCACTGTTCATCCCCTACTACTCTTACCAGCTTCTCACCGTCCAATCTGGGGTTGTTACAATGTAAATAGAGTACTGATCTGGGGGTGTTACAATGTAAGTAGAGTACTGGTCTGGGGTTGTTACAATGTAAATAGAGTACTGATCTGGGGTTGTTACAATGTAAATAGAGTACTGATCTGGGGTTGTTACAATGTAAATAGAGTACTGGTCTGGGGTTGTTACAATGTAAATAGAGTACTGATCTGGGGTTGTTACAATGTAAATAGAGTACTGATCTGGGGTTGTTACAGTGTAAATAGAGTACTGGTCTGGGGGTGTTACAATGTAAATAGAGTACTGGTCTGGGGGTGTTACAATGTAAATAGAGTACTGGTAGAATGCTGCCAACTATTATTGGGCACCCATTTCGAGACCACTATCTTATCTTTTAATGACGTGACAAGAACGAGCGTCTAGCCCTATACTATAGTACATATGAGTATTGCTGAAAGCACAGTGTAAGGCCTACACGGACCGCCTCTAACTAGCCAATCCCTGTTTACATGCCGTGTAGCAGGGGACTAGAAAGAGCTAAACTAGTAAGCGGGGCATAGCCAATACACTATACTTCCATCATTGAGTATATTACCAACCAGAAGGAAAATTTCCTTGTGTTTGGAATCTACCAAGACGAAAGTTGTACAATCCAGCGAAATTCCGAAGAATCATTCTCCATATAACATAACTATTTTCCCCCGAAAGTCTCCGAACATGATTGACTCGAATTCGAAATTGTCTACATTTCCCGGGGCTTATGTGTCCCCTGGTAGTATCCCCTGTAATTTACACTCTACAACCGAGTAAGCTTTTCAGCTCATGTCTGTGATGGCGTTATTGGTGTCCTCCGTGCGTTATTGCCAAGGTCAGGGACCCTGTACCATTTTATGCTATGCAAACCATAGTTTGTTCCTTTTGATTTGTTAGAACTGCCCCTGACGGGGATTGAACTCGCAACCTCTGGGATAGTAGCGCAGTGGCTTTTACCATTACCTACGCTACTTGTACCTTATTTCAAGATAAACCTGCTTACAGGTTCCCCAACGTGTACTAAAAGTTTAAATATAAATAATTTACTTGTTATAAAGAAGAGTAGAAAGAGCCCCCTCTTCAGTCAGCATGTTCAAGTAGTGTGTGTAACACTCCGCATAAACTGGGCACTCGTAGAATACAACTTGTTCAACCTTTCTCAGCTTGTATCTGATGGGGTAACGTTAGGAAATTATAATAAAGATAATAGTGAGACTTTAAATTTATTGCTGGAATAGCCCATTCATTTGTGCAACAGAGATGTATTACCGGGGGCACCGTCTAGCTAGTAGACTAGTAGCTGGGGTCTAACAGATTACACCTCAATATAATCACCTTTTAAAGAAGAAGAATCGTTCAGTTGTGAGGAGATATTTAACGTTTCCCTCCGCGAAATCCCTTCGTATATTTGTTATCTGTTTGTTTGTTGAGTTCTCAGATAACTGGGAGAACTTCAAGTTCTCCTTCTTGAAGTAATTCCTTATTCTGAAATGGGAGAGAAATTGGGGCCTTTACTTAAAAATTAACATTTCATAAAGACACACCAATTCTATGGATATGGTAATTCAACTTCATTATAAAATACAAATATATGTATATTTTCATATATTGCTCAAGAAGACGATAAAACTATAAAATTATGCAGTACTTTGCGGACAGCGATGAAACAACAATTAAATGTTCCATTTACCTGACATAATCGTAGTAGGAAGGAATGACGATGACGATGCTAGTCATATCACTGCTTCTCAGACGAGGGAGAATGTTATCTACAAAGTAATCGTATCTCCCGGTTGTGAGATAATCTACTAAACCCTCCCCGTCCTTCCTCTCCCTCATCCGGGAGAAAACTTGCCTGAGAGAGGGTATAAAGAAAGGGGGGGGGGGGGGGGGGGGGGTTGATAAGGGTATCCTTGTTTAAAATCAAATCAAATAATAATGACACACACGTCATCACAAATATTTCTACAAAAATTTTAAAATTTAAATAACATTCTGGGTTCAAAGACCCAGTAAAAATCTACCTAATTATACTTTTCACTACTATATAAGTTAATAAAACGTTTCTTAGCAACATGGGGATTAAACCTAAGATATTCATTATGCTTTTCTTTATTAATAGCATGGTTCCCTCAATTTTTCATACAACTTCATTCGAAAAATTTCAAAAATAACTATCATTAACAAAACTCATAGAAATTATATCTTTCTTAAATCCGTCTAATTTAACTTTAAAACTAAGAACTGTCTCTGAGCTCTTGACGTCCGGAGGAAGTTTGATCCAATGGTCTTACTCTCTACGGAAGAAAAGAACTATTGAGATTCTACTACTATTTTTACTACATCTACTGTTTGATACCAGATTAAAACCGGATCTGCTCATTCTGAATAAACCTGATCCATAATCGGCCAAACCGCTAATAACTTTGAAAGCTTCGATAAGATCACCACGTATTCGCCGCTCTGCCAGCGTTGTTAATCAAGCGATAATTATAATGGGGAACAGAATCAAAAGCTTTACTGAAGTCAACAGGGGCACCTTCATCTATTAAATCAAATATAATGTCAAATGTCTCTAAAAGATTTGACAGGGCAAGATTTACCTTTTACAAAACCATGTTGGTGTTTCGAAATAAGGTCCTCTAAAAATTCTAAAACATAAGATCGAACAAACTGTTAATAAACTTTACAAAACATACAAGTTAAAGATGCTGGTCTATAATTAAGAAGGTCAGACTTATAACCTTTTATAAAGAGTGTTGTTACTCATGATAATGTAACCAACCTGACTGGATAGAGGACCTGACTGAGAACATCCTTGCTGGAATGAGAAGATACCTTCACCAGACCCCTGTGACTGACGCACTCTTTCCCGAACAGAGCGGACACCTGTGCAGAGCTCAGGGAACTGAAAACTAAGTTCTGTCGGAAGTTCTTGCCGTGTCCTTCCAGTGCCCAATGTTTTACCCTGAAACACAGTATGTTATTAATAGTGTACAATTGGGGGGGGGGGGTGGCAGGTTAAAACTACAGAAGAAAAGACTAAATTAAGCAAAATGAGTAGAACAGCAGGCTGATTAGAAGCGAGCTTACCTAGAAAAGTCAGTATATTTAGGTGAAGAAGGCTGCAGATTAAGATGTTCTAGACAAAGGAGAAGGTGCTCCCAGTTCTGCATTAGAAACACGTCTGACATGAACAGAGTCAGAACTTCGATGGAGGACAGAAAATCAAAATCACGTTCTTTATCGCCTGAAATGGGGTCTTCTGTTAGAAATATATAGCCTCCTACGGAATTATCTATTATTATCTGTTTTATTATTCCACTAGATACCCCAATTGTAATTGAAATTAAGTTGAGATAAAAGTAAGAAGTAAGAACATTTTACCTGGAGCCCCCACAACACTCCGTAACCCGAGAGGAGATGCCACAATCAAATCAGAATTGTAGAAATCTGTGTATAGCTTGACACTGTTCTTAGCGAAAGCAACTCCCAGAGTGAAGAAATCATCGTTGTTACCAAGGAAAGTCTTCTGATAAGAGAGAGCTTTTGAGAGATTTGGTTTCTCGGTATCTCCAGGCCCATACTCCTCTTCAAACCTCTTCTTATTGCTGACCTGCAATGTTCATTGATCATAAAGTCGTATCGCTCAAATTGAACGTAAGGATTTTGATCATTGAAAAAAACTGAATACGCCCCACCCTCACGACGAACATGATGACACGCGCGTCGCGTCAGTCAATGCGGCGCGCGCAGTGGCACCAGGATAACAAATGTTATTGATATACAAGAAGATCCTCGCGCGTTACAAACATGATATATAAGCTGTCACTTTCCAGGAGGACTTTCGTCAAAACTGTATCAAATTGAGAGATCAATTTTCTTGTGTTTGAACTGATATCTCAAATTTGGCACATAGAAATTTGCCCAAACTTACACAGATTATTAGTCTAATAGCTATCTTACTTTCTTAAAACCCTTCAGAAAATCGTACAATAGGATCTCTAGATAAATGCCTTGGTACCAAATATTGTACTTTGGTACAGTTTGGTACAGAAAGTCCAACTTCAGCTGTTTTTAGTCGCATGAGGCCAATTATTTCAACTATTGTAGCAAATGCAAATTATAAATATTTGCTAGCAAAGAATCAGGGACAAAGCTTTAAAAACTATGCGAGTATCTCGCATCATTAGAAATGTCAAAATTTCAATGTTCGCAAGCGCATAATCAGCAAAAAGATAGCTAGGCCGACTAGTAACACAGCTCAGCATAACGTGAGAAACCATACAAAATGGTAAAAATTCAACAATTATATAGAATTGACGTCTAATAAAACCATCAAAAAAGTTAACTCACCTGCTTTTTAGAGCCAGTCAAGGCTATCTTCAGGACCTGATGAATAAATTTATGTGCCACATTTCTGAAAGGAAACAGCAGCAATATCTTCGGTCTGGTAAATCCTTGATCCTTCATTGCATCCACTAACCCATCTGGGTCGCTCCTCAATTTAGCGTTGTTTTTCAAAACAGTTTTCCTAGTCTGCAAAGCATGATTAACAGTATGTAATGCTAGTAACTTGAGAAGCTCAGCTTGATTCTCAAACGTACTGTCAGTGAATAAAAAATCTTGTCCGGTTGCTATATAAGGGAATATTGCAGCGGATACCGGCTTCATAACACCTTTAGTATGGATCTGTTTGGTTGTGCTCGTCCATTGTTTCACTAAGGCGGGATCTAATCCCAAGTTCGATAAATCAGCTGGGGTTTTCATTTCTGAAATATTGCCCGAAATATTAGTCGACTTCTGAACTCTGTAGAGAGTATGAGGAACATTCGTCATGGACACATCTTTTGTGTATTTTAATGCAACATCAGATCCAAAGTTTAACTTGAGATAATCACTTGGACTCTCAGCTTCATCTGACTCTGATTCATCATCACTTTCATCCTCATTCTGCTCATCAGAATCATTACTAGCCCCACTTTCTGACTCTCCCTCTTCACCCTCACCCTCACCCTCATCCTCACCCTCTTTATCACTCTCCTCTCCCTCTGAACTCCCACCTAATAACTCTTCAAAATATGCCCTCGGTCGTTTCTTCAGCGATCCTATCAGTTCTGAGTAATGGTCTTGTTGATTGATAACGGGCTGATCTTCTTTCGTATTTTGAGTATTTTCATCTGGTGCAAATTGATCTTCACGTTTTCGTTTCTTGTCACTTTTGAGATCTTGTCCACGGTAAGCTTTACCATGCTTGTTCAGCAACTTATTCGTCCGTTTGAAGGAGTGCCCACCTCTTCCTCCACCTCTGCCACCTCTGCCACCTCTCCCGCCTCTGCCACCTCTTCCACCTCTTCCACCTCTTCCCCCTCTGCCACCTCTGATCTCATTCATTGCTACTTTTGACAAACTTGATCACCCACAACTTTTCAATACCAGCTTTTCTCTCTCCAACAATAGAACCAGACAGCTGAAACGATTTTGATATTTCACAGATTTCCCCTGGTCGATTCTGGCGGATTCCCAACAAGAAAAAGATTCCAGTTGGTGATAAAAACTTGGCCGCAGTAGGTAGAAACTTGTCAATAACCTCTCTACCGTCGATACCACCAGCCCAAGATGCCTCAATACCGGAACTAGAAACCTCTTCTGATTCAGTAGGAACGTACGGAGGGTTGAAGATCAGCAGATCTACTTTCCCAAACAATCCTGATAATCCTGCTCCGAGATCACTGCACACTACTTCTACTTCTTTCTTGTTTACAAGTGAGGTTTCTTTGCTAGCTTCAGCGGCTTGCTTGTTGATATCAACAGCTATACAGTAAGTTTCAGGGCAGATTCCCTGAACAAATGTGGATATAACACCAGAACCTGAACCTATCTCAAGAGAAATGAGAGGGTGGTTGTTATCTCCTGCTGTGTAGAACTCTTCCAAACAGTCTAGGAGAAGGAATGTGTCCTCACTAGGTGGGTATACACTGGTGAACTCACTTCTCTTCAAATGAGGGGTTAGTGGTGTTGGAAACATTAACCATCCTGTATTTTTATATCGGTTAGCTCAGTGATAATTATATATATCCCAATAATTATACTTTTTGGTCAGTCATTTCGAATCATCAGCACATAAAATAACAATCTCGTTGAAGCAGTAATTTGGATCATTAGATTAAAACGAATTAAACACTGGATAGTTACTGTTGAATAGTCAGAAATTTATTAAATATGTTATCAAACTTAAGAAAGTTACCAAATATGAAAACTGTACCAGAAAATTAATAGTTTACTTCAACTTCAACACATACAGTTTAAAATGTTAAAATAGAATATTAAGAAATTTAAAAACTTACAGTATAAAAGGAAAATAGGATATGTGGTACTATCACCGATTTCTAAGTTGAACAAACGAATGAATAATTATTAGCTCAGAAACATGTTGATAATTGCATTCCTTTTTTAAATTTGGTTATTTAATTTCGACCGATTTATGAAGTGAAATAATTTATAAATAAGCTAAATTTAACTTTCGATATAACTATTGACTATTATAGCTATCTATAAGAATTTTTAAATAAGCTTAGTTTGGGGAAAAACCGCTGATAAATCAGAGATAAGTTAAATCATTATTATTGTGCTTCTCGGTTCAAACTTTCTATTAGAAACGACAAATCACCGAAATTTTCAGATAAACACTACAATTTGACAATCTTATATAGTTATGATCCAATATAATTCGGTAAGAAAGATCATATTCATAAATCATTGAAGTAAATATTTCCCCCAATTCCAACAGAAATTTAAAATCTCACAACTTATAAAAGGAAAATAGGATATGTCGTACTATCACTGATTTCAAACGAATAAATAATTATTAGCTCAGAAACATGTTGATAATTGCGTGGTTGCGTAATTTAGACCGATTTATGAAGTGAAATAATTTATAAATAAGCTACAGTAAATTTAACTTTTGGTATAACTATTGACTGTCGCTATCTGTATCATGAATTTTAAAATAAGCTTAGTTTGGGGAAATAAAACCCCTGATAAATCAGAGTTAAGGTTTTATTATCCCTATTATTATTGTGCTTCTTGGTTCAAAACTTTCTATTAGAAACGACAAATCACTACAATTTGACTATCTTAATATGATCCAATATAATTTGGTAAGAAAGACCATAAATTATCGAATGTTTCCCCCAATTCCAACAGTAATTTTTAAATGGCCCGGACAGTGTAATGGACAGTGTAATGGACAGTGTAATGGACAGTGTAATGGACAGTGTAATGGACAGTGTAATGGACAGTGTAATGGACAGTGTAATGGACAGTGTAATGGGCAGTGTAATGGGCAGTGTTATGGACAGTGTAATGGACAGTGTAATGGACAGTGTAATGGCAGTGTAATGGACAGTGTAATGGGCAGTGTAATGGACAGTGTAATGGACAGTGTAATGGACAGTGTAATGGACAGTGTAATGGACAGTGTAATGGACAGTGTAATGGACAGTGTAATGGACAGTGTAATGGCAGTGTAATGGACAGTGTAATGGCAGTGTAATGGACAGTGTAATGGGCAGTGTAATGGACAGTGTAATGGGCAGTGTAATGGACAGTGTAATGGGCAGTGTAATGGACAGTGTAATGGGGGTTCAGACAGTTCTAACCAACCCATTTGCCCCCCTCGCTTCAGCAGATAATTTCATGAGGTAATGGTATCAAGAATGTCCCGAGATCGGCTTGCTGGGCCAGCAGCTTTCCTTTTTCCTTCAGGTGAGGAACCGAAAACTGATTTAAAAGGTCTGGGTGAAGACATATACACAGTTTCTAAACTCTCCTCAGCTATTTCTTTGTTCGTGATTTTTAAAGTGAACCTTGAACCTCTTTTACAAAGATAAAATCGCAATCTAGGAACAAAAAAGGAGGATGGGTTCTCAGCAACAGTCGCTTTATCCACCTTGAGAACAACATGGCAGTTAGTTGGAGCAAGGGGAGCAGGTAAGTCGCTGAGGAAGGGCTCTATAAACAGACATTGCATAACTTTCCTCAGACAGCGGCCTTTATCATCATCAGACCCTTCAATCTCACTTCTCAGAGATGAGATATCTATAACGTAGGTCTCTCGAGGGGACATTATTGTACTTCCTATCAGGATGATAACTTGTTGAACATGCCAACCATTCAGAATGTGAGTGTGGACTTGGTCTACAATCTCGATCAGAAAATTATTTGTAGAACGGGACTTGTTTTCTTTTAAAGTCAGCTGAGGTGTAAGTGGCACTGAAACCTGAGAGATTGGATTGTGATAAAATCAGTAGCTTCAGTTGCAATGTGACCAAAACTGTTTTGATCTGCAAATTAATACAGTATGGTAAAAATTTAAACATTCAATCATGTTAGCACCGTCTGAAAAGGTCAAAATCCAGCTTAAGTAATTTGTAGACAGTCGTAAGTACTATACAGTCATGACTTCGTTTAAAGCTCCACGGGTAACAACTAAAACAAAAAACAGATGTTTAATGTCAGTTGTTAACAAAATATCAAGTTAAGAACTAGCAGTGAATATTAGTCCTACCTCTTGCAGTTTACCAAGCACCCTCCTCTGTTGTGCTGGGTAACCATTTGTTCTTGTAGTGAGAGGTGTGTCTGCAAATATAGATAGGATAATTATCGAAAATCTTTTGTAGATCTCTTCAATTAATGTTGAGTGTCCATAAAACTCAAGAGAAAAATTAAATTACATATCATTGGATTTGGGAATTGGTAGTTAATTTGAAAATTTTGTAAATGAAAACATTTCCTCGTTATATCTTTATTTATGAGATTTATAAATCATTTACAAGTAGAGTTGAACCAAACCTGGGACAGATTCAGTGTTCTTGAGAGTTTCATTCCTTTTAAAACAAATATTTTCTTGAAGGCTCAATTCACTGACCAAGTCTGCAAGAATAGGTAAGTCTGACTCATTGGATGGTAAAGTTTCAGACTCAAGCTGAACACAGGGAGTTGCAAACAAATGATTGCCTCTACTCTGATACGGAGTAGATCTGTTGGCATATTGTAGCTTGGTTTGTACTTCAGGGATGCTATCTTGTCTTAATTGATCTATGGGCTTTTCAATTTGACCTCGAGAGTAGAGAAAGTTCCCAATTAGCCTCTCAATGAGTGATGATGTTGAAGGAAGGGAGAGAGATTCCTCGCTAACAGCAACATTTACTTCGCCAGCTTTCATAGTATAGATGCTGAAACATTATACATGTATTGGTTAATTTATAATCAAATCATTAGGTTAGCTCTTATTTTGCCCATGAGGAATACAACAAATATCGATGCAAACAATACATCGATACATGAACAAGCAAATCTTTAAAAGCTATTATAAAGAAAGAAGGTTTAACACTGTTGATAACATAAATCATTCACTGTATCATTTTCTACCTTATAGCTAACACATCCTTATATAGCATTAAATAATTAATAAACAACAGTTCTTCCCTAAAATCATCCAGTCACACCATCACATTACTATCTCTTGAAGCTGTCCTTCTTTAATCCATAACACCCACAACATAGTTGCAGTGCAAAAGCTAATACCAAGAGTGTCCCTTTGCCTTGTCAACTATCACTCCTTCTGCAGTATGACTGGCAGTGGCAAAATGTACCTGTGGGCCGCTCCTTGCTAAATTTTTCCTGACAAAAGTATATGCTGAAACCCTAACCCTTACAAGAAATTAGACCAACTTCCATGTACGGTCATATCACGTGATTGTAACAGTTTTTCGCCAATATCCCGCCAGGGGAGCATTTTAACCCTATGTCATGGGGGCCGGGGGTGATTTGGAATCAACGTCCAAACATGCATCCATTCGAGTTGGTTTCAACTGTCGGGGCCCTTTTAGAAAAATCCCAAAGATCGAGTGTACAGTTAAATAAATCGTGGTATTTGGGGATTTTTCATCTCTTTTAATTTTACAAAAAGAAACCCGATATTTGAGAAAATTAAATACAAAAATCTTCTCAGATCAGATGTTTCATTTTGTAAACAATTTCTCCAGAGCCTTGGAAAGTTAGCCTCAACTTAACTTATAATCTTCCAAAGGGTATCACAAACACATCAACATCATCAAAAATCTTAACACTACACTCAGCAACAACAGACAAACTTACAGAACTGCAGTGCACCTCATCATTGTGGTTTAAATAAACACCTACACACCATCCGCAAATCAAGCACCAGTGCTTGTCCTGTGTGCGGCAACGGAGAGAAAACTGTGTCACACTTTCTAGGACAGTGTCCGGCTATTGCCCAAATAAGAGGTCAATATTTCCAGGACTATTACCTCTCCGTTTAATTGACGATGTCAATTCATGGCAGCTCAGCGCGGCACAGTAGCGCATCTCGCCGATCTCTGTGAGAAGCCTCATTGAGTGCGCGGCGCGGCACAGTAACGCATCGCGCTACAAACTCTCCGTCAATGACATATTCGACAACCAACTTTATATATGTATATAAATTAATAAAATTATTCAAACAATCACCTTAATAACACCAGAATGTGTGTGTGTGTGTGTCTGTCTGTCTGTCTGTCCGTGTGTAATTTCCGGTCGGTTATACAAAAAAAACGGTAAGAGTTACGGGACTGATTTTTTCGGTATAGTGTCGACAAAACTCTGATGAAGCCCATAGGAAATTTTTAAAAAAATCGGCCGGTGGTTAGTGGTTTTATTGATGGTTTTGTACCACAAATGTTACATAAAGTTGCTTGAGCAGAACGGCAAGAGTTACGGGGCCTGCTCTCTCTTTCTCTCGCTCTCTCTCATTACTGTGTAATATGTTATCTGCTGCATTTAAGTAGCGTCATAATTGGATTAGCCCGGAAGATTTGCTGTAATGTTATACCTTAAGCTTATTAGGGGAGGGAGTACTGTTAGTGTTTGGGGTCTGTTTGGACTGCAGAGAGAGAGAGAGAGAGAGTTCATACGACAATGTTATGCGTGTTTTCAAATATAATATGCGGGTGTGGTGCGGAGTTAACAAGGGTTAATTTCTATAACGATTTAAATAAAAATAGAAAGCGGTTCAGGACGGGAGTGATGAGGTGTAATACTCGGTGTTCAGACCTTATGATCATGGAATGTGGTGCCTAATAATGATTAAATTATCCACAAGAAATAACTGATTATGAGATTATTGTTTAAGAAACTATTGGGTCACCTAATGCGGGTTTTGACTCAGCGGGTAATTACTCCTACCCTTTTTAACTGCGGCAGTGAAATCCCGGCCGTAGGCCGGGTTACACTAGTATACACATAATATAGCAATGACCCTATATAAAATCAACCCTTAAAGAATTCAAAAAATTCCCTTAACAATCAAAAATTACCCTTGGCCTTGTGGCTCCAAGTTAAGATCTAGACTGTTTATATCGACAACCAACACATCTCCAACACATCTCCATATTCGACAACCAACACATCTCCACTATTGTCAACTTCGCAAACCACACCAAATGCTTTGGAGGAGGAGCTGGACCAGACTGGTGTGACATTGCAACTACTCACACATCGTCTTAGTTCACCTTTCTCTTTCACACCCAGTTGACACTTCTATCCTCTCGTGGGCCACCCAGGTCCAGCCTCTCTAAAAAAAGGGTATAAGAGACCGACAGAGTTTGTTATCTTCCAATACTCCCAAAATGTCACCGCCATGGCCAATAACGTAGTGACAGAGCTTGCTATGTCTTTCACCTTAACCAACCGGCTTTTGAGGTTGCTTCCTTGATAAGTAAACAGTAAATCGATAAAGTCACAATTAAGGAAAATACGTGCAAAATAATTTGGGGAAAATAATGATGGTAACCTCAATTTTGGTAGTCCAAAAATATGGTGTTTTAAAAAAACACCGCCGACTGTCGTTATACCATTTAAACATGTTTCATAACAACAACTTTTTGTAAATATAACTGTGTTGTATATGCTATGGTATCCGTGAAAGTTTCCGTTGTTTAATTTATGTAGCGCTCGATTTTCACAATACGGTATAAATCATTTGAAATTCTAAACACTAAAAATATGCGCGGCACGTAAAATATTTCATTTCAACTTTACAGTCAAATTTTATTGAGTACAATACTGATTGCACGCGTGACGCGTGTCAATGTGCAAGCAGCACGTGACACAATTTAGCCAATCAGAGAACAAAAATTCGTAAAGTTAAAAACTTTTATTTATTAGCCCAAAATAAGACTTTTTGAAATAATTATAAACTTTAATTTAATTGTTATGTCCCAAATTGAGCTCCACAGAAGCTAAGCTAATTTTAAATTATTAGTTTTACGAAACGAATATTTTGCTGAAAATCGGATCGGATGTCGATCGCGATTCGCGATATTTTTTAACTTTTGGATACTATTATACCCTACTCAGTCTAGTAGGGTTAAAAGTATTTTACTGGTTCACCTAACCATGTGCTTTCGCGCCACTGCAGGCGCGCGCCACTGTAAGCGCAAGGGACCTGGATAAAGCAATTTTACTGGTTTCCTGGATGGAAAAAGTTGACAACGAGTTTTTTTAGTTCTACAAAGTAGATTATCTCGATCATGAGGTACAAATTATTTTAACATTTAATAAATTAATTTAATTGAAATAAATCCATCTTACCATTTAAAAATAAAACAACCAGAAATTATAACTCATGAGTTACGATTGTGCTTTGCCAATTGCATTTCTTTATTTAACTAAAATTTTGTTTTTCTATGTGAAAAATAAAATACGAACATCGTTCATGGAGGACTTCGGCGCGCCGCGCAAACTAGCATTCTTTGTTTCGCATTGACTAAATCGTTGACTAAATCGTTGCTTTACAAAGCAACGATCTGGAAGGGTTGACATTGTCAATCAACGAACATCGTCGTATTATATGCTCTGTTCCCAGAAATTTTCACAATCGTCGCATCGTTTTTTTTGACACACGCTGTAACCCCTTTTGAGCGCGCGCGAGAGGTATACAACGTGTAGCAACGTTTTTTGACTCACTCAAAAGTCAAACTGCAATCTACCATCCCATTAAGCTAAGACTTACTCGTCCATACCACATTTTACACTTTCTCCACTACTCTAGATAACTGATCAGCATTTGCTGGAATTATGCATTCCATAATAATTTAATTTATACGACGATGTTACTGTTTTTACTATCACGATTGTAATACAAAACTTATAATTTGTAATCCTTGTTATCATTGTAATCCTAATGTTTGCCAAGGCATCCTTACTTTGTTTATGGGTAGTGGATCCATTTGCTGTAACATTTGCTGTTATTCTTTTTCCTTCCTCTTTTCCTTGTCATCCCCTTTAGTTTTAAGATTCTTGCTATAAATGGCTACAGCTAACACTATTAATGCTAAGTACCAAACAAAAAGTGGGAGGTGGATCGTTGGTATACCATTAAATCGATTTAACACCGCAATTCCAGTCGCAAGCCTGGGACCACTACTAGCATAGTCACAACATCTACAAAGCTGCCATATAGCCTGACTGACAATTTTCTCGACTGACTGACAATGTTTCTTCTTTTTCCCCATTTAGAATACAAAGATTAGTACATTTTAGCTTATGATTAATATTATATTTTTACCTATAGTTTACCTAGATGAGAATAAAAAATGTTGACCTGGATTCTTTTCGACGTATTTTTGTATTTGGTATAAAGGTCCTGCTAGTTATATATAAAATATATTTATATTTGCTTTAATTGATACTAGAAATAAAATTATCGTTTTCTTGAAATTGTTGTTTTCTTCATAGCCTTTTAGAGTAAATCGTAAATCGATGTTGTTTACAGTACAATCTTATGTTTTTGTACTGAAGGATAGCCGGTAGCCTACTTAAACTTGGCCTTCAATTTTTGGCATGGCCCATTTTCATTCAACCTATCACAGTTCCTCAAATCATTCGGCTGAGTTGATCACATGTGCTTGCCTTGAACTTTTGAAGTCTTAAAGCTCATTGATAACATAATGAGCCCTACGATTTCCACTCACTCAGAGTTTTGATTATTTTGTGAATCTTATGTCATATATATAATCATTGGAAAGAGAATTGGAATAGCGGACGATCACAACAAAGATGAAGTTATTTCGACTTTCCTTTGTCTAGATATATTATTGAAAAACACATCTGAATGTGCAAATGCGCTAACTTCACGTGCAGAATAGCATTTTTAAGTCAACATTACCAGCTAAGAGAATGATTTTTCCTGCAATGAGCTATCAATGAACTATTTAGAAATGTGCATTAAACCTTACTGTAGTGAAAATAGAACTGTTCTAAATTGATGCTGAGAAATTGTAGGGGGACTCGGTCAGGTATCTTGTCAAACAGTTAACCTACCATAACTGTTTTATATGTCAGATAATATGTAAAAGTAGCATTATGTGTAAGGAAGACTTGAAAGCTGCTTTGTCATCAACAAACAGAGGAAAAAATGTTCCTCTTATTTGCTGGGATGACGCACTGCAAAGAAGTAAAACTATAGATTTGAAGGAGGAAGACAATGTTAGCAAGGTAAGAATTAGTAGTGCCATTTCTTTTATTATATAAGTTAATTTTATTAAATTATAATCATAATCTGGTTGTTTTATGATTCACTTATAATTCACCTCAGATAATTGTTGACAGTAACAACTCACTGTTGGAAGCCAGGAAAAAGTTTTACCTCCAATCTACTCCACCCAAACCTCCGCTTCTCGCTCCATTTTCAGGTTTATCAACTTTTTAGGAATACGTTTTCTTCCTTCAATATTTTCATGGTAATTAAACCTGGTAGTGTCAACCTGGTAGTGTTAACCTGGTAGTGTTAACCTGGTAGTGTTAAGTGTTAACCTGGTAGTGTTAACCTGGTAGTGTTAAACTGGTAGTGTTAACCTGTTAGTGTTTACCTGGTAGTGTTTACCTGGTAGTGTTAACCTTGTAGTGTTTACCTGTTAGTGTTAACCTGGTAGTTTATCATGTTGTACCCTAGGTTCAGTAACATGGCAGTGTGAAACACAAGACTCTGATCCCAACAAAGGTTCAGATCTCCTCGTCATCTGGATAACACCAGCAATTGATACTTCTGCTGAGGTCATATTTTAGTTGATTTGTCATTTATCTTCAAGATTTGTCATTCATCTTGATTTAAAGTTATCTAATATGCATTAAGTTTTGCCCGATTGCGTGCCTAATTGAACCCATATTTCAGACAGAGAAACTGATTGCAGCGTATCCACCAGTGACTGAGTGGAAGTTTGATGTTTATCTGAACGATTTGACTGACAAAACTCCTCTTCAAACCCTCCTTGACAGGTGATTTTGTTACTTCAACCCAGAGGTGGCTCGTGGGAGCTGGCTGGTGGTTGTGTCAGGGCATGTATGTACTATGTAATGTGTGACAGGCGACAGCAAACAAAAACGGAAACTTATGAAATGAGTGAAATACCACACGTTTACGATCTCAGCCGCGCAGTATGATAGCAGATAGTTCAAATAGCATGGTCGCTAAAGGGTCCTGATCGTATTAATTTCCAGTACGTTGATGCGATAATGTGCTTTGTAGCATTTACAATAAAGTGTGTGTTATTTCAAGCACCAGATTATAATTTTAGGGTGTCCACGGACGCCTGCACGCCCTCAACAGCCGCCTCTGTTTCAACCCTCTCACCCCTCAAACCATGTCAAACGGGACCCCCTCAAATGGAAAAGTGTATAACAATAAGTTGATAAGATGTCCCTTGTTCGCAGAGTCCCAGACAGTACAGATCCGACCTGTATAAAGATACCACTCTCTACAGCACTCTCTAGAGGTAAACACATCGGGGATATGACTGGACACCGGTTGAAGGTATCTGCTAACGGCGTGTGGCCTTTCAGGTGAGATATTTCACTTTCATTTTCACATTCTCTTTTAATTTCGGTCCAATCTTACTTCACTTTTGTTTTATTTTCACTTTTTCGTTCAAGGTCAACAATTCAGGTTATACTAATACTACTCATCTAACCAGGTTCTATCTGGTTAACACTGTGATAAGACTAGGAGATAAGGCAGAATGTGGTATTGATGATAAAACACCGGAATCACTCACTTTCGAGTCTTACAGTACTCCTCAGGTCGGTTATTTAAATATTACTATAAATGATAATGCCATTTTTATTTCAGCTATTGTTAATTTAGTAAACTAATTGTTTCTGTAATTAAATGATTTGCCTGGTTCATCCTGTCGGTATGATGTTATGACAAATCATAATTACATCTTTACAAAAGAAAAGAAAAACTTACAAAATAAAAAAGTAAAGCAATCAAATGTTACAAACAAGATGATTAGTAAAACTGTAACACCATTATTAAAAGATAAAATGAATTAACTGAGCTGTACAAAATAGCAAATAAAAGTAAAAATAATCGTAACCGCGGCAACACTACCATGTAAGGTAATTTAACCGCGGCAACACTACCATATAAGGTAATGTAACCGTGGCAACACTACCATATAAGGTAATGTAACCGTAAAACACTACCAATTACCATATAAGGTAATGTAACCGCGTCAACACTACCATATAAGGTAATGTAACCGTGGCAACACTACCATATAAGGTAATGTAACTGTGGCAACACTACCATATAAGGTAATGTAACCGTCAATATACAGTCTAACCACGATACTGAACAAAGCGTTTGTTGTTAAATACTGAATTAAATCATAATCGGTAGTATGAATGATGATGTAAATGTTATATGCAAATTTTAATTAAGAAAAAGAATGTAATTTCCAATATTTTAGACACTATTTTCGTCTGTTGTAAAATAATTTACGTAGCAAGGTTTTTTGTCATAATTTTATGTAGACAGGTCACTGTATCATCGAAGCGAAATCTAATTTGATTGTTACAAAAATATGCAGACGTTCTTATTATATTAGAATAACGGTTAGTCAAGCCAATCTGACAATACCAAAAAACGGATTTCATTGTGAATCAATAATTAACGTTATCGTAAAAATTGATTTTGTATTTTGTTTAATTAAATTGTTTTTGTTAAATAGTAGGAGGCCTCATAACAGTTATTGTTATTCAGCACTCATCACTCAGCACTCAGCACTCAGCACTCAGCACTCAGCACTCAGCACTCAGTACTCATTTATCATAATTTGAAAACCCACTCTTATTAATGTGTTCTAATCGCTTCAGGTCATATTTAAAATTATCAACAATCAAATAAGATCGCACACCTAAAATAAAGTTTGTTGTTTGGATCTGGGTTGTGCCGGCAGTCTTGTGTAAATTTAACTGAATGTCAAACTTAAAATAAGATATTTGTACGTATCTGATATCTACCAATACAAACTGAAACCCTAACCTTAGTACCCATCTCACATATTATCCCAGTTTTTGTCCATATAAAGTATGTACTATGTAACCGTGGCAACATTACCATATAAGGTAATGTAACTGTGGCAACACTACCATATAAGGTAACGTAACTGTGGCAACACTACCATATAAGGTAATGTAACCGCGGCAACACTACCATATAAGGTAATGTTCTCACTCCTCAGTCTCTCAGAACCTCTGGTCGGGTTCCTCCAGGAAATGATAGATGTTCTCCTCACTCCCCGGCATTGGGTTACTTGTCCCTCCTCCGCAGTAATCCCTCTCCTCTGCTGGTGCTGCTACACTGTCTGCTCTCATGTCCTGCCAGTCACTCTCTGATCCTCCTGAAATAAAAAAACAACGTGAAACTTTGTTGTTATATCACACAAGATTCTACTTTCTATCTTTGTACTATTTGATTATTGAATTTTAAGTATCTACCATGATGACATATAAGGTAATATCACCATGGTATCACTATCATATAAGGTCATACGTATTCCCTCTGAAACGAACCTGTAAGAGGCGCTGTAGAATAGGACATCCTCGGAACTTTCTTCTTCTTCTGTTTGCGTGACTTTGCGATGAGTAGAACTATTAGAGTTATACAGACCACTGCCAGTACAACTATAATCCCGGTGAATATGGCACTGAGACTGCTCCTAGGACTTGTTCCCCTTATACCCTTAGCAGAACCTTTGTAATGCTGCGTCTCTATATCATACTGCTGCACACAGAATACCCCATTACCTATCTGGTCGGAATCATTGCAGGTCTCACAGGTGTAGTTAGTCCAGTACTCTCCGTTCTGACAGTGGTTACACTGAGAGGCTCCTGCTGTAGACACTGTGTAGGCAGGACACTTGGTACATTCTACTGAGGAACCCTCACTGAAGTGGTTAGCTGGGCAGGCAGTGCACGTCTTGGTTACAGGATCCCACTTACTACCAGCACTACAACTACAGGCAGTGTGTCCGTGTACTGGCAATGTGTGAGCAGGACACTCAACACACACTTTACCAGCATTGTCAAACCAAGCAGTACCAGTGCACATCACACACGCTCTGTTGCTCCAGTGCGTTCCCTGATCACAGCTACATTCCGCAGAGCCAGCAGGAGTTGTGGAGGTGGAGGGACACACTTCACAAGACACCATCTCTCCTTGTTTGTAGGTGTCCTGTAAGCAGGGTGAACACTGGCCATCTTCCCACTTCCAGACTGCACCGTCAGGACACAGACACGAGGCTTTATCTTGTGCTGCTCCTAGCGGACAAACCAGGCATTCTGTTCCAAGTCCATTACTTGCTGTTCCCTCTTCACAGTCCACACATTGTGCTCCATCCCACACCTTACCACCATCACAAGAGCAGCCAGCAGAGCCGGAGAGAGAAGTAGATCCCTCAGGACAGAAAAGACACGTTCCAGCCTCATTGTTCTTATAGCTTCCTGAGGAGCAGGGTATACAGGACCCATCACCTGAACTGTTCCACTCCCAGACCGTTCCATCAGGGCAAGTACACTTTTCTTCAGTAGAGGAGGATCCCAGGGGACAGATGGAGCAGCTGAGAGAACCCTCTAAGCTGACAGACCCTGCTTCACAACTGTTACACTCTTCTCCGCTCCAGTGCTCTCCTGGAGGACAGCTACAATGTTCAGCTCCTGCTGCAGATGTAGAACCTAGGGGACATGTTGAGCAGGAGGACATGTTCCCTGTTTTATAGGTGCTGGCAAGACAAGGCCTGCAGGACCCTGTGTTCTGATCTACCCACTCCCAAACCAGACCATCATCACACAGACAACTAGATCCTGCTCCTCCGTTCTCACAGGTCACACAGACTGTTGCTCCAGCGTTGCTTGCAAATCCTGGGCTGCATTCCACACATTCCTGGTTACTCCAGTAGGTCCCTGCTTCACAGGAGCAGGAACTGGACCCTGTTAGAGCTGTGGATCCTGTAGGACACAGCTCACAATGCAGCATCTCTCCTTCTATAAATTTATCCTGAGGACATGGCACACAGGCTCCCAAAAGGGCGTGGTTCCACAGCCAGTACAGTCCGTCAGGACACGAACAGGACCTATCACTGTCTACAGGTTGTGAACCTTCAGGACACTGGTGACAGGTTCCCTCCACTCCTGCGTAGTCATCAGGACACCTCTTACACCTGCCGTTACTCCACATAGTACCAGGACGACAGTTACACTTATCAGAACCGGGCCGGGAGGTGGAGATACCCGGACAACTTGAACAGGACGTGGAACCGGAGACTGAGCTGTAGAAGTTAGCAGGACACTCCTCACAGGTTGAGTTTATCAGGTAGTGGCCAGCCGGACAGGTTACATAACACTCTGAAGTGGGACACTCCAGGATAGGTGGACAGGTCTGTGGAGGATCTGTTTCAACCTGCGGGGGATCTGTTTCAGTCTGTGGAGGATCCGTTTCAGTCTGTGGAGGATCTGTTTCAGTCTGTGGAGGATCTGTTTCAACCTGCGGGGGATCTGTTTCAGTCTGTCGGGGATCTGTTTCAGTCTGTGGGGAATCTGTTTCAATCTGTGGAGGTTCTGTTTCAACCTGCGGGGGATCTGTTTCAGTCTGTGGGGAACTTGTTTCAATCTGTGGAGGTTCTGTTTCAACCTGTAGCTGTGGTGGTTCTGTGTCAGCAGGATCTGTTGCAAACTCTGGCACTTCAGTTACGTGAGCTGGTGTATTTGTTACAGTCGCCGAGCAAGTCAGGTGAACATCCTCATTGTGCTGACAGTTGTGAACTGTGCTGTGTGTGCAACTAGACCAGCTCTCACTGCTACAGTCCACATTATCCAACCCTATCTCCAGCCCGGTCTGAATATCGAACAGGCTCCCAGCAATCCAGCCCAAGGATCCAGGACGACCCATCTGACGACAGATAGCGTTAGCAGCGTTCTCGTCAAAGCTATCGTCACACACTGTGTTTCCGTTGTAAAGGAGCAGTCCTTGTTCTTCTCCGAGTATATCGTTACTGTCAGCGTCTATCAGGGAGAAGGGAGAGTGTCCTGCTTCTGAGGGAGGGTACCTGTGTTACTAATACTGATAGTAACGATCATTCTGATTCACAATTTCAGGTCTTTCCGGGTTTTTTTTCGTTTGTTTACAATCGTTAATATTCAAGTTGTTTTAGGGAAATTTCAGAATTGTCTTAAAACTTTATTAAAATGAATGATACGATAAACAACTTGGTTGCAGTCAGTGCCATTTGCCAATAAAACAACACTAAATACGGGTAACTCAGTGTGCCACCTTTTGGTTCCTCTGAGTTGCAGCTGAGGAACACGTCCTCAATATGCCCACAGTTGTAACTAACCTGTTGGTTCCTCTGAGTTGCAGCTGAGGAACACGTCCTCAATATGCCCACAGTTGTAACTAACCTGTTGGTTCCTCTGAGTTGCAGGTGAGGAACACGTCCTCAATATGCCCACAGTTGTAACTAACCTGTTGGTTCCTCTGAGTTGCAGCTGAGGAACACGTCCTCAATATGCCCACAGTTGTAACTAACCTGTTGGTTCCTCTGAGTTGCAGCTGAGGAACACGTCCTCAATATGCCCACAGTTGTAACTAACCTGTTGGTTCCTCTGAGTTGCAGCTGAGGAACACGTCCTCAATATGCCCACAGTTGTAACTAACCTGTTGGTTCCTCTGAGTTGCAGCTGAGGAACACGTCCTCAATATGCCCACAGTTGTAACTAACCTGTTGGTTCCTCTGAGTTGCAGCTGAGGAACACGTCCTCAATATGCCCACAGTTGTAACTAACCTGTTGGTTCCTCTGAGTTGCAGCTGAGGAACACGTCCTCAATATGCCCGCAGTTGTAACTAACCTGTTGGTTCCTCTGAGTTGCAGCTGAGGAACACGTCCTCAATATGCCCACAGTTGTAACTAACCTGTTGGTTCCTCTGAGTTGCAGCTGAGGAACACGTCCTCAATATGCCCACAGTTGTAACTAACCTGTTGGTTCCTCTGAGTTGCAGCTGAGGAACACGTCCTCAATATGCCCACAGTTGTAACTAACCTGTTGGTTTCCTCTGAGTTGCAGCTGAGGAACACGTCCTCAATATGCCCACAGTTGTAACTAACCTGTTGGTTCCTCTGAGTTGCAGCTGAGGAACACGTCCTCAATATGCCCACAGTTGTAACTAACCTGTTGGTTCCTCTGAGTTGCAGCTGAGGAACACGTCCTCAATATGCCCACAGTTGTAACTAACCTGTTGGTTCCTCTGAGTTGCAGCTGAGGAACACGTCCTCAATATGCCCACAGTTGTAACTAACCTGTTGGTTCCTCTGAGTTGCAGCTGAGGAACACGTCCTCAATATGCCCACAGTTGTAACTAACCTGTTGGTTCCTCTGAGTTGCAGCTGAGGAACACGTCCTCAATATGCCCACAGTTGTAACTAACCTGTTGGTTCCTCTGAGTTGCAGCTGAGGAACACGTCCTCAATATGCCCACAGTTGTAACTAACCTGTTGGTTCCTCTGAGTTGCAGCTGAGGAACACGTCCTCAATATGCCCACAGTTGTAACTAACCTGTTGGTTCCTCTGAGTTGCAGCTGAGGAACACGTCCTCAATATGCCCACAGTTGTAACTAACCTGTTGGTTCCTCTGAGTTGCAGCTGAGGAACACGTCCTCAATATGCCCACAGTTGTAACTAACCTGTTGGTTCCTCTGAGTTGCAGCTGAGGAACACGTCCTCAATATGCCCACAGTTGTAACTAACCTGTTGGTTCCTCTGAGTTGCAGCTGAGGAACACGTCCTCAATATGCCCACAGTTGTAACTAACCTGTTGGTTCCTCTGAGTTGCAGCTGAGGAACACGTCCTCAATATGCCCACAGTTGTAACTAACCTGTTGGTTCCTCTGAGTTGCAGCTGAGGAACACGTCCTCAATATGCCCACAGTTGTAACTAACCTGTTGGTTCCTCTGAGTTGCAGCTGAGGAACACGTCCTCAATATGCCCACAGTTGTAACTAACCTGTTGGTTCCTCTGAGTTGCAGCTGAGGAACACGTCCTCAATATGCCCACAGTTGTAACTAACCTGTTGGTTCCTCTGAGTTGCAGCTGAGGAACACGTCCTCAATATGCCCACAGTTGTAACTAACCTGTTGGTTCCTCTGAGTTGCAGCTGAGGAACACGTCCTCAATATGCCCACAGTTGTAACTAACCTGTTGGTTCCTCTGAGTTGCAGCTGAGGAACACGTCCTCAATATGCCCACAGTTGTAACTAACCTGTTGGTTCCTCTGAGTTGCAGCTGAGGAACACGTCCTCAATATGCCCACAGTTGTAACTAACCTGTTGGTTCCTCTGAGTTGCAGCTGAGGAACACGTCCTCAATATGCCCACAGTTGTAACTAACCTGTTGGTTCCTCTGAGTTGCAGCTGAGGAACACGTCCTCAATATGCCCACAGTTGTAACTAACCTGTTGGTTCCTCTGAGTTGCAGCTGAGGAACACGTCCTCAATATGCCCACAGTTGTAACTAACCTGTTGGTTCCTCTGAGTTGCAGCTGAGGAACACGTCCTCAATATGCCCACAGTTGTAACTAACCTGTTGGTTCCTCTGAGTTGCAGCTGAGGAACACGTCCTCAATATGCCCACAGTTGTAACTAACCTGTTGGTTCCTCTGAGTTGCAGCTGAGGAACACGTCCTCAATATGCCCACAGTTGTAACTAACCTGTTGGTTCCTCTGAGTTGCAGCTGAGGAACACGTCCTCAATATGCCCACAGTTGTAACTAACCTGTTGGTTCCTCTGAGTTGCAGCTGAGGAACACGTCCTCAATATGCCCACAGTTGTAACTAACCTGTTGGTTCCTCTGAGTTGCAGCTGAGGAACACGTCCTCAATATGCCCACAGTTGTAACTAACCTGTTGGTTCCTCTGAGTTGCAGCTGAGGAACACGTCCTCAATATGCCCACAGTTGTAACTAACCTGTTGGTTCCTCTGAGTTGCAGCTGAGGAACACGTCCTCAATATGCCCACAGTTGTAACTAACCTGTTGGTTCCTCTGAGTTGCAGCTGAGGAACACGTCCTCAATATGCCCACAGTTGTAACTAACCTGTTGGTTCCTCTGAGTTGCAGCTGAGGAACACGTCCTCAATATGCCCACAGTTGTAACTAACCTGTTGGTTCCTCTGAGTTGCAGCTGAGGAACACGTCCTCAATATGCCCACAGTTGTAACTAACCTGTTGGTTCCTCTGAGTTGCAGCTGAGGAACACGTCCTCAATATGCCCACAGTTGTAACTAACCTGTTGGTTCCTCTGAGTTGCAGCTGAGGAACACGTCCTCAATATGCCCACAGTTGTAACTAACCTGTTGGTTCCTCTGAGTTGCAGCTGAGGAACACGTCCTCAATATGCCCACAGTTGTAACTAACCTGTTGGTTCCTCTGAGTTGCAGCTGAGGAACACGTCCTCAATATGCCCACAGTTGTAACTAACCTGTTGGTTCCTCTGAGTTGCAGCTGAGGAACACGTCCTCAATATGCCCACAGTTGTAACTAACCTGTTGGTTCCTCTGAGTTGCAGCTGAGGAACACGTCCTCAATATGCCCACAGTTGTAACTAACCTGTTGGTTCCTCTGAGTTGCAGCTGAGGAACACGTCCTCAATATGCCCACAGTTGTAACTAACCTGTTGGTTCCTCTGAGTTGCAGCTGAGGAACACGTCCTCAATATGCCCACAGTTGTAACTAACCTGTTGGTTCCTCTGAGTTGCAGCTGAGGAACACGTCCTCAATATGCCCACAGTTGTAACTAACCTGTTGGTTCCTCTGAGTTGCAGCTGAGGAACACGTCCTCAATATGCCCACAGTTGTAACTAACCTGTTGGTTCCTCTGAGTTGCAGCTGAGGAACACGTCCTCAATATGCCCACAGTTGTAACTAACCTGTTGGTTCCTCTGAGTTGCAGCTGAGGAACACGTCCTCAATATGCCCACAGTTGTAACTAACCTGTTGGTTCCTCTGAGTTGCAGCTGAGGAACACGTCCTCAATATGCCCACAGTTGTAACTAACCTGTTGGTTCCTCTGAGTTGCAGCTGAGGAACACGTCCTCAATATGCCCACAGTTGTAACTAACCTGTTGGTTCCTCTGAGTTGCAGCTGAGGAACACGTCCTCAATATGCCCACAGTTGTAACTAACCTGTTGGTTCCTCTGAGTTGCAGCTGAGGAACACGTCCTCAATATGCCCACAGTTGTAACTAACCTGTTGGTTCCTCTGAGTTGCAGCTGAGGAACACGTCCTCAATATGCCCACAGTTGTAACTAACCTGTTGGTTCCTCTGAGTTGCAGCTGAGGAACACGTCCTCAATATGCCCACAGTTGTAACTAACCTGTTGGTTCCTCTGAGTTGCAGCTGAGGAACACGTCCTCAATATGCCCACAGTTGTAACTAACCTGTTGGTTCCTCTGAGTTGCAGCTGAGGAACACGTCCTCAATATGCCCACAGTTGTAACTAACCTGTTGGTTCCTCTGAGTTGCAGCTGAGGAACACGTCCTCAATATGCCCACAGTTGTAACTAACCTGTTGGTTCCTCTGAGTTGCAGCTGAGGAACACGTCCTCAATATGCCCACAGTTGTAACTAACCTGTTGGTTCCTCTGAGTTGCAGCTGAGGAACACGTCCTCAATATGCCCACAGTTGTAACTAACCTGTTGGTTCCTCTGAGTTGCAGCTGAGGAACACGTCCTCAATATGCCCACAGTTGTAACTAACCTGTTGGTTCCTCTGAGTTGCAGCTGAGGAACACGTCCTCAATATGCCCACAGTTGTAACTAACCTGTTGGTTCCTCTGAGTTGCAGCTGAGGAACACGTCCTCAATATGCCCACAGTTGTAACTAACCTGTTGGTTCCTCTGAGTTGCAGCTGAGGAACACGTCCTCAATATGCCCACAGTTGTAACTAACCTGTTGGTTCCTCTGAGTTGCAGCTGAGGAACACGTCCTCAATATGCCCACAGTTGTAACTAACCTGTTGGTTCCTCTGAGTTGCAGCTGAGGAACACGTCCTCAATATGCCCACAGTTGTAACTAACCTGTTGGTTCCTCTGAGTTGCAGCTGAGGAACACGTCCTCAATATGCCCACAGTTGTAACTAACCTGTTGGTTCCTCTGAGTTGCAGCTGAGGAACACGTCCTCAATATGCCCGCAGTTGTAACTAACCTGTTGGTTCCTCTGAGTTGCAGCTGAGGAACACGTCCTCAATATGCCCGCAGTTGTAACTAACCTGTTGGTTCCTCTGAGTTGCAGCTGAGGAACACGTCCTCAATATGCCCACAGTTGTAACTAACCTGTTGGTTCCTCTGAGTTGCAGCTGAGGAACACGTCCTCAATATGCCCACAGTTGTAACTAACCTGTTGGTTCCTCTGAGTTGCAGCTGAGGAACACGTCCTCAATATGCCCACAGTTGTAACTAACCTGTTGGTTCCTCTGAGTTGCAGCTGAGGAACACGTCCTCAATATGCCCACAGTTGTAACTAACCTGTTGGTTCCTCTGAGTTGCAGCTGAGGAACACGTCCTCAATATGCCCACAGTTGTAACTAACCTGTTGGTTCCTCTGAGTTGCAGCTGAGGAACACGTCCTCAATATGCCCACAGTTGTAACTAACCTGTTGGTACCTCTGAGTTGCAGCTGAGGAACACGTCCCCAATATGCCCACAGTTGTAACTAACCTGTTGGTTCCTCTGAGTTGCAGCTGAGGAACACGTCCTCAATATGCCCGCAGTTGTAACTAACCTGTTGGTTCCTCTGAGTTGCAGCTGAGGAACACGTCCTCAATATGCCCACAGTTGTAACTAACCTGTTGGTTCCTCTGAGTTGCAGCTGAGGAACACGTCCTCAATATGCCCACAGTTGTAACTAACCTGTTGGTTCCTCTGAGTTGCAGCTGAGGAACACGTCCTCAATATGCCCACAGTTGTAACTAACCTGTTGGTTCCTCTGAGTTGCAGCTGAGGAACACGTCCTCAATATGCCCGCAGTTGTTCTCCTCTGAGAAACTGCAGCTCCCCCAGTGTGGGTCACTACAGTCCACATTGTCCAGCGTTATCTCGTAGCTATCCTGGATTTCTATACGCGTCCCTCTACTCGACCACCTGGGAGTGTATTTACGTAATATATTAATTTAGTTATGATTTTATCACAATATTTTGATACTATTATCTCAAAGGAAACAAAAGAAAAAGTCTCATTCTCCATGAATTTTACAATTATATTCAATTAAATTTCGTTCTGATAGATGATGCAGCAGTAAAGTATCAATAACACAAGACCACATTATTACCTGTTCATGTCAGTGTATCCCAAGTTTCTGCAGATAGCAGTAGCAGCAGTAGCGTCAAAACTATCGTCACAAACAGTTCCACCTTTATAAAGGAGTAAACCTAGCTCTTCTCCTTCAATAACGTTCCCTTCTGAGTCAACTAGTCTGAACAGGGGCTCTTCTGTATCTGTGAGGGGTTACCAGGGTGACACTACCATATACGGTTATGTTGCTATGGTAATACTAAACTATTTCCCTTAAATAGCATAATGATAAACATAAAGGTACATTTAACATTACATTTTAATTTATCAAATTACCTGTTGGTACAGTAGGTACTGTAGGTACTGCGGGAATATCAGAAGATTGCTGCTCTATTTCGCCATCACAACTCAGAAACACATCTTCTCTGTTAATTTAGTAAATTTAATAAAACACAAATAAAGTTTCATTTACGTTACCCTTGAAATCAGACCGTGAGCTGTAATATTAAAAAACGTTGTCCGATCACTATGAGACTATGTAGCACGGTCACAATAAGATGTTATAGGGTTATCGAGAAATGACCCTATATTATAGTAGTGTTACTATGGTAACTCACTACAAGGACACCATAGTAACGTTACCTTATATGGTGCTATTAGTTATTACCTCCATAGTAACGTTACCTTATATGGTGCTATTAGTTATTACCTCCATAGTAACGTTACTTTATATGGTGCTATTAGTTATTACCTCCATAGTAACGTTACCTTATATGGTGCTATTAGTTATTACCTGTGCATACAGTTATGAGACTCAGAATAACTACAACTCTCCCATTCTCCACGTCTGCACTCCACGTTGTCAAGTTTTATCTCGTAATCTGTCTGTATGTCAAAGCTATCTGCTGGTGTCCATCTGGTTGCACCTGTGTACCTGTGGGTTTAGATGGTAACAAGCAAGGAACAAGCAAGGAACAAGCACGTAATAAACAAGTAATAAACAATTAACAAACCAGTTTATTATACAAATTTTCTCTATTAATAAATTTATAAATTAACCTCCAAACTTTATTTGGTAGTTTGGTTTCTTGTACAATCACAAATATTACAGATTAGTTGTATAAAAGTAGTGTTTACCCGATTTTGCGACATATAGCGTTAGCAGCATTGTTATCAAAGTTATCGTCACACACGGTACCACCATTATAAAGGAGTAAACCTAGCTCCTCCCCTCGGATAATTTCACCAGCTGAATCTACCAGTGTGAATCTGGGGGCTTCTGAGAGATCAGTCTGTTATTAGGGGGAGGGGGCTTCTGAGGCTAAAAATGGCTCCATAACATTTTGGTGACAATAAAATTGAATAGTCGTAGCAGATAAAAGATGACAGATACGAGAATAGTGTTGAATCCGGTAAATACCTTTACAAGTAAGAAAGATGTCCTCAGAATGTCCACAGTTGTGGGACTCCACGTAACTGCAACTATCCCAAGACCCACTGTCATCACAGATGACGTCATCAAGTACTATCTCGTATTGCTCCTGTATAGCCCAGGTCACGTGAGAGTTCCAGGTCTGTGCTCTGTCATATCTGAGGGGAGGGACGTGAAACAGATGAGGGACGTGAAGCAGATGAGGGACGTGAAACAGATTAGGGATGTGAAACATATTAGGGATGTGAAACAGATTAGGGATGTGAAAGAGATTAGAGATGTGAAACAGATTAGGGACGTGAAACAGAAGAGGGACGTGAAGCACAGGAGGGACGTGAAACAGATGAGGGACGTGAAACAGATGAGGAACGTGAAGCAGATTAGGGACGTGAAACAGATGAGGGACGTGAAACAGATAAGGGACGTGAAACAGGAGGGACGTGAAGCAGATTAGGGACGTGAAGCAGATTAGGGACGTGAAACAGATGAGGGACGTGAAACAAATTAGGGATGTGAAACAGATTAGGGATGTGAAACAGATTAGGGATGTGAAACAGATTAGGGACGTGAAACAGAAGAGGGACGTGAAGCACAGGAGGGACGTGAAACAGATGAGGGACGTGAAACAGATGAGGGACGTGAAGCAGATTAGGGACGTGAAACAGATGAGGGACGTGAAACAGATTAGGGACGTGAAACAGGAGGGACGTGAAACAGATGAGGGATGAGAAATACAGGATAAGAGATGAGGAAGAGTTGATTTGCTCTAAAAGATTTTCTCGACATCGACGTTAATTCTGACTAATTCCGCCAGACTAAACAATACAGAATGGAAACTGTTTATAAAATATCAAATAACAAAATAACAAGCACCCCATTTGACGACAGACTGCATTGCCCGAGTTCTCATTAAAACTGTCGTCACAAACTGTCCCCCCATTATAAAGGAGTAATCCCTGAGCTTCGCCTACTATCTGCTGTCCCCTTCTGTCGACTAGGGTAAACTCTCCTGAAACATGAACAGTGAACACGAACGTTATATTAAAAGTTCGGGACATTTTTATTAATCTGGGAAACATACTCTTAATTAATTTGTTGGGTTCAAGCAAAAGTCTTTGTTAACTCAAGATGAAAGTCATGGTCACAATTGTACAAATTCCCAACTTTAAACATAAATATAAACTGACCTGAAACGGTGGTTGCTGCGATTAAACCAACTAAAATAAATAACATATTGAAATAAACTACAGGTGCACTACTCTTATCATTCCACTCCTACACTGATAAGGAGATTGTGAAGTTAGCTACTAAAGCAAGTAGTATTTCATTAATAGTGATTGCATCAGGAGGGAGTATCTACTGTTTATATGATAACACTCTGGTGATTACACTGATGGCAGATCAGCGGACCCTGTCTGTATTTAAACCACTACTATAAGGAACTAGAATATAGTATGAAATCATTGTATTATAAGTTGCAGTGCCGCTACCCTCAGTTATTTTAATCACGAAACGCTCCCTTTGGCTTCAGGCCTTTAAAATCTGCTACTATATTTCAGATTTGTGAAGCAGGGAGATTTTTGGCACACCCTAATTTTTCCAGTATCTCAATTTTCCCCGTACAGTTTCTATCTTTACCAGCGATCATCTACTCATTTTTATAATATCACATTTAGTGAGCTTCACAATTTGAGGTCTGTTAAATCACGAGAGAACAAATTACTCAAGTCAGTATCCTTATAAATGGTATAAATGGTTGTAAATCGCTGAATGAAGTCAAAGATTAAGATAAATTAAACGTGGTATATAAGTCATTCGATTTCTGTGTCCGAGTATTATCAATTACCACTTTTATCAACAGCATCAACTATTCCAATTCCTGACATGGTACAAATTGATGGTACAAATTGATGGACCCACGGCCCACGCCCTCCATATTAGAGAATGCTCGAGACTTCTTATTCCAGAAAAAAAAACTTTAAAGAACTCTATGTCCTGTCCCTTACATTTAGGAGGACAGATCGAGGAGGAGAAAATGTAGAGTTGTCTGGCGTCAGAAGCGGTCGCTGGGTCGTATGCGGAGCAGTATATACCAGCATGTCAATTAATGCTAGTCTTATTGTCTTAACTAATTGCATCCAAGATACCTTTAATATGATCTGTTTATCATGATGTCATAAGTAGTACGCGGACTGGTACGCGGACTAGTCCTCGGACTGGGTCGGGCTTCTTGGATACTGCCCAAGTGAGATTATTATTAAACTGTATCGTATGAATATTAAATAATTCTGCCATGACATAACATATCGAAACTATGGTATTCAATTCTACAGTTATTACTTAAGTCAACTCCTGATTTTATAAGAAATGTGAAGATACCGGTAAACTGGTGAATGTTAAATTAGGGCGTGGTGACTTCTTACCGTACCAATCTTGGAAATAAAAAAGCCAACAAAAACTCGAGGAAAACAAATGGATGGTCACACAAACATGATATGTACTACTAACTATCCGTGTGATACGAGCAAACTGTCAGAAGTTGTTTATGAAGGAGCAAGTAAGTTAATTCAGTTTGACGAAGTATCAAGAGAGAGAGAGAGAGAGAGAGAGAGAGAGAGAGAGAGAGAGAGAGAGAGAGAGAGAGAGAGAGAGAGAGAGAGAGAGAGAGAGAGAGAGAGAGAGAGAGAGAGAGAGAGAGAGAGAGAGAGAGAGAGAGAGAGAGAGAGAGAGAGAGAGAGAGAGAGAGAGAGAGAGAGAGAGAGAGAGAGAGAGAGAGAGAGAGAGAGAGAGAGAGAGAGAGAGAGAGATAGAGAGAGAGCGAGAGATTGAGAGAGAAATACTAAGCACAGATTATTGACAGGGAAACCGGGATTGTAATCACGCGGATAATATTATGAAGGAGCAAGTAATGTCTGATACGTCAGTTTAATAATGCTGTGTAGAACACGAAACAAAGAATATGTTTAAACAAGTTTATGAAGGAGCAAGTTTAGGCAGTTCAATGTACCTAGAAAATAACTGTAGCAACTTTGTGAGCCGGTAAATTCCTGGCTAAAATATATATAGAATTAGGGAAATATAGGAATTAGGGAATTTGGGAAATAGTCACACAATCCTGATCAGCAGACACGTACAAACTAGTGGGGTAAACTCTCCACAGAGATTGGGGGAAACCTGTGAACATTCCTTATATTTGGCAGTATTAGTGGTTGTGGCATAGTGGCGTACATGCCATGTGTATGGTATCTGTATCCGGTGCGGTGAGATAATATCTGGATCATTATTAAACAATGTTAAGTATAACTGACATATCTTGTATTCTAACATAATACATATAAATATAGTAAGTGTACTTAGAATTTAAATGATATCACGCGACAAGACATTCTATCACGTGATAACACGTGATACCCTAATCAAGTGTCACGTGATGACGTCATATCACGTGATACGCTGATCACGTCCCAGTTCAGCTGTAGTTGTAGCGCTGCTGACTAGTATAGTTAAGGTTTCATAGTCCACACACGAGTAGATCATATTGTCTTGTTATTTACTGTGAACTCTCCAGGCAGTACCTGTGAAATCATAACTCTTTAATTATACCACAAACCACGTCTTATTAGTTAGGTACTGTGGGGGTACCCTGCACGTGATATTAGTAGGTACTGTGGGGGTACCCTGCACGTGCTATTAGTAGGTGCTGTGGGGGTACCCTGCACGTGCTATTAGTAGGTACTGTGGGGGTACCCTGCACGTGCTATTAGTAGGTACTGTTATGTGGGGGTACCCTACACGTGATATTAGTTGGTAAATATTTGGCAATATTCCATGGAATGTTTACTTTAAAGTGCTACAATGATTTTAAGGGAAACTGACGGGGCAAATAACGAGAAAATGATAATCAATAATCTGGCGCGGAAAGCACCTAATTGTTAATGAATACTGATTAACGATACCAAAGGTAAAATGAAGTGTCTTGATTTTAGTGTAACTAAATATCGTTAATAAACGGAGTGGAATGTAAGGTACAAATAACAAATATCAGACTAAAAAACAGAAGCATTACTTTAAACAAATGCGTTCGGAAATTTCCTAAAATGTTTCATAAGGTTTCAACTAAACTTTTATATCGGCTTCAAAGCTCATAATGGCAAATTGCCAATAATGCCAGATGGATAACTACAGAACGAAATTGTGGCAAATATTAAGAATAAGTAAGGGCGTGTTTACAAATATAATACTCAAGTTGCGGTACAATGTACAAAATTCAAAATCGTGTTGGTCACAAGACTCGCTGAGCAGCCTTATTCACAGAAGATACCGAAAAGTTATAGCTGAGCAGCAACATTTCTTACTGGTCACCTGCCAACACTTCTGAAAACATCTGTTACGCTATGTTTTACATTTTTAAATTCTTCAGAAATGGTTGAAAAAGTTTAAATTAAAAAAACACGCGGGTATAAAAAATATAAAACATGTTTAATACTGGGCCAGGGACATACCTGCTTTCCTTTTTCGGGTGTCATCTCATCCGCTTGTTCTGCAGTAATCTCATCTGCATCCGCTTGTTCTGCAATTTTATCAGCTTGTTCTGCAGTCATATCATCTGCTTGTTCTGCAGTCATCTCATCTGCTTGTCCTACAGTCATCTCATCTGCATCCGCTTGTTCTGCAGTCATTTCATCAGCTCTCATCTCATCTGCATCTGTTAGTTCTGCGGTCATCTCATGCTGTGTTTACAATACCTTTATAGTTTGTTATCATACCAATAGAGTAAGTGAGTAACAATATAGCGTGTCTACATCACATGGACGCGTACAATGATGCTTGCTAAAATTACAAGATCAACTATGGCTATATATATATAATGTACTGTATTATTATATAATAGTAACGGTAAAACTTGATATTATAAATGTTATTAGAGTTGTAATTATCAACCTTTTCAGATAGAGCATAACGTTATATTATAGCATTCCTGTAAAACAGTAAACCTCTTCTCTTTCATTTCAGTGCATTATTTCTCACAGTATATTCAAATTTAACATTCTCAAAAACCACAATCCTGCACGGGAACATATTGTGATAAAACAAATTTAACTCAGGCTAATTATTCATCACTTTTGTAAATTATGTCGAGGAACAAACTTTTGCATTTTATAACTTACAAAAATCTTGTAAAACCAGTCGTTCCTCCTAATATTTAAATATAAAAACTTTCGTTATCAAGCAAATATTATTAAATCTTACCGAATTATTCTTTTAAGTCTGATCATCCGTTTTGAATCTGATGAGAAATTACCAGAAATATGATCTTGAATAAAGTTAAAGAGTTTAAGTTTGGCGGTAAATCTTTTGTTACTCGGACTTTGTAAAATGTGTAAAATGTTACGTGCTGCCCGCAAAGTTATTTTATAAAGATCTTTTGTGAAATATTGAGCAGAATATCATAGAACTAATGTTAATATAATAAAACACTCCCCTCTAACATGCAATGAAGACTGTCGCCTCAGAAACCAAGATAATTGGCAGATTTAAAACCCTCTTGTTGCAAAAAACATAAACTGAGCTTTTGTGGGCGATCCTTTACGAAAAGTTTAAACATACGAGGGCGTGTGCATTTTATCGGACACTTTTGAGTAGCATTTGTTCGGATGAAAATGAAAAAATCTTAGACAAAAAGAAATGAAAATTGTTCAATTTTGCAGGAAACGTCGCCGGAAGTAAACTGTTTTACACCAACAGCGAGGATTGAAGAACTGGACGCCTTGATTCCGGAGGAAACTGATAAAAAGTTAGTAATTATAATCACATATGTAATTATAATTATGAAATTGTGAGTCACCCAACGACCAACATTCATATTAATTCTAGCCCCACAGTCAACACCCAGAAAGTTTTAAATTTCCTCCCAGTCCAATGTTTCTTCCCTAAAAATTTTTGTATGCCCTAAAAAGAAATTTTAGGTGTCCTCTTTGGCACCAAATTTCCTCTGGAATCCAAAATTTCCTGGAAGTCAGACTGCCGTGTTTCTAAATGTGGGATTCTAGCAGACATTCAATACGCTAATTACACGGTGTCGCACCGTACGATGTTGCAATATAAACACTAAATTCGTATTTATTTGATCAAGTCTGTATTCAACGCAGTGCATGACAAGCGAGAAAGCTTTCAAAGCGGAAAATAAATATTACCAAACGTGTATGATGGCGATGCTAATTTTATCAAATCATTAAACGTATTACATTTGTACTTGAAGAAACTTGTTCAGTTTAGTCTATTATTGGTTGATTGTGTGGAAATGTTGATTGAAAATAAAATCTTTCTCGATTAAGGACTACCGCTGACCGAATGGCATATCACTAAAATTTACGCTTTTGTTCCATATTTTTTATCAGAAGCTCTCATCCAATGTCCATAATGAGTATGGGCTAAGAATAAATTAACGACCATACCGTTACTCTTTTTTAATACACTAAGCCGACATTTTTACAGCGTATCACCTCCCATCTTCACAAAATATTCACCTCCCATCTTCACAAAATATTCAAAATTCTAATTGATAGAGGATATAGCCGTGATAGACTGATTAAAGGCATTAAACGTTGTCTGAGGAAATATGATAACGTTTTCAGGAAGTTCGGTATTCTAGATGACCGTAACATTATTAAAGAACTCCCCTGATATCTTTTGATTTATTGAAACACGGGTACTAACTCTGCTAAACTGAACAAATTCTGAAACTTAGGTGAATAAGTGTACAACGTGCTAAACCGAAGTTCAGACTGACCAGTGAAAATGGGCGAGCGTACCAAGTGTCATTTTAATTAGAAGTTTTAGTCAGTGATTTATTATTGAAGCTTGTAATTACAATATCTAATGCTCCTATAAATACTTTAATTAATTGTTTGTCCCGTTATTCTTTTTCCTTCCTCTTTTCCTTGTCATCCCCTTTAGTTTTAAGATTCTTGCTATAAATGGCTACAGCTAACACTATTAATGCTAAGTACCAAACAACAAGTGGGAGGTGGATCGTTGGTACCATTAAATCGATTTAACACCGCAATTCCAGTCGCAAGCCTGGGACCACTACTAGCATAGTCACAACATCTACAAAGCGGCCATATAGCCTGACTGACAATTTTCTCGACTGACTGACAATGTTTCTTCTTTTTCCCCATTTAGAATACAAAGATTAGTACATTTTAGCTTATGATTAATATTATATTTTTACCTATAGTTTACTTAGATTACGTCCGTATCATGGTATCAAGTACTGGTGGTCGGTTCTTCCGCCCCGTTGGATACATAATTGATAGCTTTTCTTGATATTGCTCTATAATTACATTTATATCTCTCCCGGCCATTGGTTCCGAGATTTGGTTGATCTTTGTTTTCTTGGGCGCCCTCCTTGAAGTCTTGTTGTTGTACATACATCTCCTGATTTATCCTGTATTTACCTGTTTATTTCATTTTCTGGCGTGAGCTGTCCGCCATGCTACGGTACGAGAAACAGCGGCAGTGCAAGATCCGGTTCTAAGAGATTTTTATGGTCGCGAAGAATCTCGCCAGGCTACACTGCGTCGGTGGGAGAACTATTTAGGTTCATGACATCTAACGCCCGCCCAATCATGGCAGCCCCATGACAATAGGTTGATGTCCGACCCGTTGTCCTTGGCCTATCTCGAGTCGTTGGGTCTAGGCGGAAACGCCGAAAGGGATGATGTTACCTTCTTGACTTAAACGTAATGGTAAATTTTTCTCAAAATCCTTGAATAAATGGGTAACCCCTAGTAATGTTTTTTCTAGCACTTTTAGATGTTGCAATGGTAGAGGTTGTCTCACTTGCAACAGTTTTAATCCTGTTAATACATTTAGGAGCAGTACTTTTAATAATGATTTTATCTTTGGACATACAAATTTTATATTTAATTGTAAAACTAATAATGTTATTTATGTTATTACCTGTTCTACCTGTAAAAAACAATATGTTGGAGAAACAACTCAACCACTTCATAAAAGAGTCAATGGCCACAGAAATTGTGTCAAAGCCAAATCATCCACATTTTTATATGAACATTTTAATATTCCTGGTCACGTCTTCTCAGATGCTTCCATACAGATTGTAGATTATGTTGATTCTGACATGTCCACCGATGTCAAAAATGATTTACTTCTCCTGGAGGATTACTGGATAGAGAAGCTTGGGACAGCATTCCCTCTTGGTCTTAATGACAAGAAGAAAGGAACGGGCAACATCTCCCAAGATCGGGTTATGAATTATTTTAGTGGACAGATTGCTCGATACAAACGTGGCAGAGGGAATGGAAAGAAGAAAGTTCAGCCTAAGAAGTCTCTGGATACCATAGAGTCTGATATTAACAGGCTGAAAGATAACATCTCTTCAGAACATTCCATATACAAAACATTAAAATGTTATAGCTTATCAGATTTAGACACTCTCTACTCTTTGAGTCAAAATAATTCAGGATTGATTTACAACGTATGTTCCTCTTTCTGTTCAACATTTTCCCCCAAATACCATCAGAACAAATCTGAATCCAGTAATAGAGAATTTATAATTGTTCCATTTAATTGCAAATTCATTGATAATCTTAACCTAAAATCTATTTTCTCTGACACTTCAGTCATTGATTTGCTTCCCATTTTGATTCAGTCTTTTACACCATTACAGATTTATTATGAGTATAATGATCCTATAAGTCTTTCTATTTGTAACTATGCTTCATTCTTAAAGAAACTTTCTATTTCTGATATTAAATCTATTTTAGGTAGTCCATGCGATTGTCACTCCTCCCCTTTCAATTATCCTCCTCATGGACATGTAGTTACTGGTAATTTAGATATTGTTGATAATGTTGAACTTAGGGAAGTACTTTCCTACGGTTGTAAATACAGAATTCCCACATTTAAATCTCCAGATGAGATATATATGTCAGTTACCGAAGCTGTCGATAAATTTATAAAATCAAAAAGTAGAAAGTACTGTCAAAAAGAAGTAAAGTTCAGCGATTGGAAGGAAAAAGTGTTATCAATAATTTCCAATCGTATTGAATATTACAAGAAAAACTTTCCTGAAACATTTGAAATAAAAGAAAACACACTGGAAAAAGATGATGTTAAAAGAAGTCTTAAATTGCTGAAAAGTAAATACATTATTTGTAGTATCGACAAAGCTTCTGGTAATTTTTCATTTATTTGTAAAAAGTTTTATGTAAAAACTCTTGTCAATGAAATGGGTTTTGATCCTAATACTCTAGAATGTATAGGTAATGATACATATAAACCCTGTAGCGAAGACGAGACTCATTATGTCAATAAAATATCTGAGAGTCTAAAGGAGAGATTTAATGTACAAGTTGAAGATAAAAACTTGCGACTAGCACGCATCTTCTGGAACCCTAAGCTTCATAAGAACCCTTACAAGGCGAGGTTCATTGCAGGTGCCCGTTTTTGCGTTACGAAACAACTTAACGTCCAAGTTAACTGTTGTCTGAAACTTTTGAGGAAATATTTCAAGAAATACTGCGAGGCAATCTACAACAACAGCGGTATAAACATGTTTTGGAGCATAGATTCCTCAAGTGAATTCCTTGAAGCTATCAAAAATAGTGATGTTTATAATATACAAGTATATGATTTTACTACTCTTTATACCAGATTAGACTTGATTGAAGTAGAGAATATGATTAATGAAGTTGTTGATTTAATATTTTCAGACCGTAATAGATATATTTGTATTTCTAAAAGAGACAGTAATACATGTTTCTTTTCCAATAAAACCTATGATTCTCATGCCTGCTTTAGTCAAGATGACCTAAAAGAGGCTGTTAAATTTATTATTTATAACACTTATGTCGTCTTCGGTGGGATTGTATTCATACAAACCAAGGGTATTCCTATGGGTGGAAATTCAAGTTCCCCTATAGCTGATCTCACTGTTGGCAAAAAGGAATTTAATTATATGAAACGTTTACTTCAGGAAAAGAAAATGGGATTAGCAAAGATATTATCCAATAATAAACGATATGTTGACGATTTATCTATTATTAACTACCTTTACTTTCATAAATTGATTAAAGATATTTATCCTAATTCATTGGAGATGGAGCGAGCTGGTTCCAATAATAAAATCATTAACTACCTTGATTTAAATATTAATATTTCCACAGAAGGACTAGAAATATCAGTGTATAACAAAACTGATGATTTTAATTTTCATGTTGTATCCCTTACATTTCCTCACAGTAACATCCCAACCGAGGTTGGCTACAACGTTTTTTCAAGTCAAGTTCTTAGATATGGTAATGTTTGCACTAGATTGGATATCTTTACCTCCCATCTTCACAAAATATTCAAAATTCTAATTGATAGAGGATATAGCCGTGATAGACTGATTAAAGGCATTAAACGTTGTCTGAGGAAATATGATAACGTTTTCAGGAAGTTCGGTATTCTAGATGACCGTAACATTATTAAAGAACTCCCCTGATATCTTTTGATTTATTGAAACACGGGTACTAACTCTGCTAAACTGAACAAATTCTGAAACTTAGGTGAATAAGTGTACAACGTGCTAAACCGAAGTTCAGACTGACCAGTGAAAATGGGCGAGCGTACCAAGTGTCATTTTAATTAGAAGTTTTAGTCAGTGATTTATTATTGAAGCTTGTAATTACAATATCTAATGCTCCTATAAATACTTTAATTAATTGTTTGTCCCGTTATTCTTTTTCCTTCCTCTTTTCCTTGTCATCCCCTTTAGTTTTAAGATTCTTGCTATAAATGGCTACAGCTAACACTATTAATGCTAAGTACCAAACAACAAGTGGGAGGTGGATCGTTGGTACCATTAAATCGATTTAACACCGCAATTCCAGTCGCAAGCCTGGGACCACTACTAGCATAGTCACAACATCTACAAAGCGGCCATATAGCCTGACTGACAATTTTCTCGACTGACTGACAATGTTTCTTCTTTTTCCCCATTTAGAATACAAAGATTAGTACATTTTAGCTTATGATTAATATTATATTTTTACCTATAGTTTACTTAGACTCAATAAATGAACAGTCATCTCTTGTGACGTATCACATCTAAGGAGCACAATATTCAGAGGGTCTACAGTTAATTGAAATTGGAGCGCGCGCTTAAATAATTTAAGAAAGTTCCACGCAAAAGCGCGCATTTTCCCTGCGCGCCACGTGGTAAATTAGCAAAATTCCTGGTCCGTGAGTTTAAACTGACCTTTCAAGCTGGACTTTCAAGTTAGTGGTGCACACGTTACCTGATATTGCATGACAATTACTGTTCTCAAGAGAACACGTCTCTCATTGATTAGCAGTTTACCGCGTGAATAGCTTGTAGATGGGCTGTCATGGTTTAAAAGTGCTCAGTTGCTAAGCGACGAACTTTATTAAATGAATTAAAGCCTACAGGCTACATGACAACAGTGGCGTAACATTACCATTTAGTCTATTTTTGGCCTTCCCTCGATCTGGAGCATTCTTTATTTTTTCAGCGTCCCCGTGTTTTACGGAATCGGATTTTCTTAGATAGTAGTCGTAAAAAAGAACCACAATTTGACTGAACCGAAATAGAGAAATACAGATAGGTACAATATCAGAAGCTTACAATTACAATACAGCAATTCAGATCAATATAATTTCAGCACAATCTCTATAATTACAAAGTTAGATAACCAGAGTCTCACAGATGGAAGGGAAAGGGGCTGCCGTGGCTACATTACCATAAAAGGTAGTGTTACCATGGTAATAATACTATATATAAAGATATTCTAAACGGTTTTATTCTCAGAACTAAAGGAAAAGCGCTGCCCCTCTCCCAGATCTCAGTACTGGAAATGTACCCTCCTTCCTCCTCTAACGGTAGAATAAGTCGCACTGCAGGAACTTCACCCCGACCCCCACGAAGTGTTATTCCACCTGCTCAGAAATCGTTTCAGCGGCTTCTTCAACTCAGACAGAAAACAAGGTGAGATTTTAGCTGATTTTATTGAATCTCTCTCAGTGTTTTAATATAATGTAACACTTGTTGAACTTTGATAAAACTAGCCTTAAAATAAAATTGTAACCCGATCAATGATCTTTTGTCGACACTAAAAGTCAGCGGTCAGTTTTACTAACTTTTACCCCAGATACGAGACTATGTCTAAAATAGAAAAGGATCAAATCGGAATCCGAGTATTAGCCGGAACAGTCATCAGAGACAACTGACTGCTGGTTGCTAAGTTACCCGCTGGTTACTAAGTAACTGTCTGGTAACTAGGCACTATTACCAGAGATAACAGACTGCTGCGCCGCCTCTCGCGCAAGTTTAAACGGTTTCCTCCGCTCACTTCCCTCCTTGTCCGCCTCCTCAGTGATTCCTAAAGCTATTGGAGTCTTAGCCCGCTGCATTAACCCTTTACACTCCCTCATAGTCTGTTGGAAGGCTCTGAACTTGGTGGTAGCTTCCTCAGTGTCCGTGTAGAACCGCTCGTAAACCATCTGGTAGGCGGCAAAAGCTTGGTATTCTTCTTCTACTTCAGTTATACTGAAACAGATTGAGGTGATGAGGTGATGATACAGCATTGTAACAAGGTATTTTAGCTACACATTCAGAGAGCACTATAACTCTTAATATTATCTGATTATTATTATCATTTTAGAGCGATAGAAGGGGAATGATATTTTGTAGACATTATTACAACTTTTAATATTTTGCAACTGTAAAATATGTACATATTGTTAATATATGTTTATACGTTTTTATATTATATTCAGAAAAGAGAAAATATTGTCCACAGTGATACTCTGCACTATTTTGTTGTCTGTTGTATGTCTCCTTATATGGGCATTACGTGGTCTGTTGTTCCGTTTACAACAACTGCGTGTATTCTTACCAGTCTATTATGTAAGTAATACACGCCACATGTATAATTTTAATAACAGAATGTGTTGTGAATTTAAACAGTCACTTTTCACCGTGGGCCAGGGACCGTGAATGAATGTAAGCTGTGGTTGGATGTAATTATGTCATGTTAATTAACATTGCACTACTATATAGGGGGGGGGGGCCAAGTGGATATTTGTAGATATTTGGATAATGTCATCCACTTTTTTCGTGAATTATCCATTACAATAATCTACAAATATCTACATTTATCTACAAAAAATGTATATCTCAAATATGTGCCCAGAAATTCTACTGAATTTTTGGAGATACATGTATAAATTTGTAGAATTTGTAGAATTTTCGTGAATTATCCATTGACAATAATCTACAAATATCTACATTTATCTACAAAAAATGTAATCTCAAATATGTGCCCAGAAATTCGACTGAATTTTTGGAGATAAATGTATAAATTTGTAGAATGTCATCCACTTTTTTCGTGGATTATCCACTCTACATTAATCTACAAATATCTAAAAATATCCACTTGGCCCCCCCCCCCCCCCCCCCTATATAAGGTAACATCTTGTTATTTAATGTTTCACTAACCTCATATAATTATTTAGAAGCGCTAGAGGGTCCTCTATCTTCATGTTAATACCTTCTGCTTCCTTGGGTAGCTTTACTCTGCAAACACACTACCGTTATTGTGTTACCAAGGTAGTATCACCTTGGTAACTCTACCGATTAAACCATTGTATAACTTCCATATAAGGTATCGTAGCACTACCATATAAGGTAATGTCACATTAGCATATAAGGTAAAGTGAAATGCAAGTTAACTATGCTTGTTAATGCTGTATTGTTGGGGTTGGTTTGGCGCTGATTTTACTTGCTAGTTTTATAATCGATGCTCCCTACTAAACAGTAGAACGTTTTATAATAGCACAAATAATAAATGTTAAACTGTTCCTGTAATACACTTTACAAAAGTAAACTATTATATTGAGCATGTTAAGGTAAAGCTAGCGAATTCAGCGCTACAGATTCCTTCTTTACAGTCTTTTACTTACGGTGGTGAGATTACACTACCATATAAGGTAACCATGGTAACTTACAGTGGTCTTCTCAGCACCCAAACGTCAAGAGAAGTGTTTGACAAGGCCGCCCTGTCTTTAGCAGGCATCAGGTACTTACTGTAACCATGGTAACGCGTTATTTTACAATTATTGACCAATTAGATGGCAGTAACGACTACACGCGATCAGTTTTCTGATGTCAAAAACAAAGTTGCCTCTTCTCCGAATGATACAGACTAGTAAAGTAGTAAGAGCACAATTTAAATAACAATACAAAAATATTCAAATATGTTATAATATTAATATTAATATTATATATATATATATACCAAATATCTACAGTGTTCGGTAAGGTGGCAAATGTTTTGCTACACAATGTACAAAACAAAAATGTTTTAATATTAGATCAATTATAAATCAAGCTGATCTAATAAACCTCCCCCTGTAAATATGAAACCGAAGTTACAAAGTCAATTGTCGTGGCTCTGGTTACATCGTGCAGACTCACCTCTAATATTATCATGATATATCACATAATATCACATAATATTACATACAATAGTGAGTAGTCTAATATTAGATTAAAACCATGCTAAACTGTTAAACAACAAAACGCGTTATTGTCGGCAGCTACCTTGTAATGTATAAAGTTGATCTCGACTCATGTTTGGTAGTTTTGTCTCATCCAAAAGAAATCAATGCCTTCATCGGCATCGTTATTATAACCTAAACAAGAAAGCAATAGAGTGATTTTCATGATCAGGCTGACTCTGACGGGCTAGGATTTATTTACAACGTTTAATACATCAACTTATTATTTGTCAGTTTAGTGCCCTTCCACTAAGAAACGAGTACTGAGATTATACTATAGTCTATAACTGTTTCTCAAAAGTCAGTCACCAACAACGGCTTCTGCAAGGGAACTATAATCGTAACTAAGTACTAAGATACTTACTAAGTATTGCTCGATGGTAAATACTTTAATATCAGTAACGTTAAATATTTATATTAACATTAAGATCGCTTTCTTATGGTAATGAAATATGTGAATATGCGGTAGTAAAGTAAATAATAAATGTGTAGAATATATTATAGAATAGCGTTCGTGTTGTAAAAGCTTTGAGGTAGCAGAAAAAAAAAACAATTAGAGCAAGAAGAGGGGCCATGTAAACAAGTAAAATGAGAGAAAGAGATATTTGTAAAGTGTGATCTGTGGCCACATTCTGCTTGATATTTGCTTATCACACTAAATTAGTCTCCAGCTCGGTCAATCTTTCATTGTGTGAAGTTTGATCACGTGGCTATTCCATTTAGTCACGTGGCTATTCCATTTAGTCACGTGGCTATTCCATTAGTCACGTGCTGTAATGGTACATGATAGTTTTGATAGGATAATAATTCAGTGGGTTTTGTTAAATGTTAAAGTCTCGGCCAATGGAGTGTCCAAGAATGGTCACCAACAGAAAAGATGAAGTAATTTTACACTCGAAACTGAATTAATCAACAAAATACTAAGTTTTCAAGAGAATTTCACGCTCGAGACTGAACTTTTTATCAACAGACATGTTATTCAAGTTTAATTTACACTAGAACTTAAGTAATTACAGCCGAGTTTGCAAGATCTGACTATGATTAAAGTCTGCTACTTAAGATCTTATGTTAAAAAGGGTTGTAGTAAAAGAAATATGCCGCATTAGGAGCCCACCAGATGATAACTGAGCTGCGTCTGGATCTTTCAACAATACCATATAAGGTAATACTAGCATGGCAACACTACCATATAAGGTAATACTAACATAGTAACATGACCATATAAGGTAATGTTGACAGTGCTTGTTAGCTAGGGGCGGTTTGTGCTGATCTATAAAACAACTGCATGATATCTGAGTTAAGAAATATTAACATTTTACAGCAGACTAGACGAGTTTTTAACTTTCTTTGCAGCGCCTTTTGAACCGTTAATCAGACCTGTTAAAATAAGATGCACGCGTTTTGTTTTATTTTGGACAAAACAAAATTACCTTTCTTGTGAAAATTGAGTTTCGCGGCTTAGTGATTGGTTAAGTTGGCAAAATGTAGTCAAGATTGGCTAAAATAATTTCTTGCCTTTAGGCTACTAAAGGTCATGTTACCATGGCAACACTACCATACAAGGAAATGTTACTATGGCAACACTACCATATAAGGTAACAACTTACCCCCTATATTTACTGTTGCCCAGGTCTCCACTACCAGGACTCTTCTGTCGGGATTTTCCTCGCTGATAAACTCCACTTTTCTCCCCTTTTCTCCTCCACATTGTATTACATAGGTCTGTGACTGGACTGTTGTCTTGTCTCTTCTTATTTCTCCTGTAATGGGTATGTTACAATTTACAAATATTATCAGTTACATTAATTGTGTTAAATTATTAATAACGCAATAATTTCAATGGTTAGTCATAAAACTGCAGACATCCCCTATAGTTACCATGATAACATTTCCTAATATGGTAGTGTTGCCATGACAACTCACCTATAGTTCCACACTCGTACTGTTCGTTATTTCCCTCGTCCAACAACACCACCCTGACGTTACTCATGTACTCTATTATTCGCCAATCGTGAACAAACACTCCATCGTGCATGTTCACTATGGTAACGGAGTTGAAGCTAAAGGTGGAACCGTAGTCCATTCTCAACCACTGTGAGGTACCTGGGAGGGTTGTTAACACGTGACCATAGTAACATGACCATATAAGGCAATATGGTACATTCATGAAACGTTGCGTTGTTTGATCAGGTTGTGGTAGTCACGAACACTAAATATTCAAGTGAAATTTATCAAAATTCTCATAAAAAACAACCTTCAAAAAAGAAACTGATAGTTGTTAATTTGTAAAACCTGATCCTGCTTGCTGAGTCTCAGAGTAGGTGCTTAAGTTGCTATCACAACATTTGTCTGCTGGGTGGTTGCCATGTGTGGAGGACTGATCGTAGTTAACCGCTCTCATATCACGTGTGGGCAGCTGGTCTTGTGACGTTCCTGTAACAGTTACTGAGTGTTCGAATACTTCCATATAAGGTTATGTTATCATATAAGGTAATGTTATCATATAAGGCAGTGTTACCATATAAGGTAGTGTTACCATATAAGTTGGTGTTACCATATAATGCAGTGTTATCATAAAAGGCAGTGTTACCATATAAGGTAATGTTATCATATAAGGTAGTGTTACCCTATAAGGTAGTGTTACCATATAAGGTGGTGTTACCATATAAGGCAGTGTTACCATAAAAGGCAGTGTTATCATATAAGGCAGTGTTACCATATAAGGTAATGTTACCTTATAAGGTAATGTTATCATATAAAGTAGTGTTACCCTATAAGGTAGTGTTACCATATAAGGTAGTGTTTCCTACCTGTATGTAAGAGTAGTAGTATCTGCCACATGTCTATTTGTTCTGATCTTTCAACAGTCCTAGCTAGTATAATTTGTTTGTGTCACTGATTTTAATAAGCGAAATGATTAGAAATAGTTGTTAACGCAAAAACGTCCAAATTAAACTGATAGAAAACGATCCAATTCTTGAGACAGATACTTTATTTAAATCTTTAAAACAAAAGAATCTGCCTTATATAAGAAGATGAAAGAATAATGAGAGACAATCAATTTCAACCAGTATATACAGTTAAATCTATTTTATGATAGACATTAATCTACTCGAGTAGTACTCCACAGAGAGTACACACCACAAAGCGTGCCACATCGCATGCCGGCTCCTTCATCAAACTAACACCTCCTTCATCTGCCAGCTAGCTCCTAGAGGATGAAGGAGCTGCTAGGTACTGGTGGTGGATCTTGTCTTTTATCAGATGTTAGCTGAATATTAGTATAGACTAGTTGTGAGCTAAGTTACCATGGTTACCAGTACTGAGGATCTCAGTACTAAACGGTTAGCTAGTAGGCTGTTTTGTTGTGGTAGTATAGACTGGTTTTATGGGTTGTGTAAGGAGAATCGTACTACGAAACCAGTGAGCGAGTACAAAGATCAATGAAAAGAAAATTTGGGACTAGTGAGATTACTAGACTGTTACCATGACAACATTACCTTATATGTTATGCTGTCCCTCCAGTAGGTTTGCGAGGATAACAGTGTTCTCAAACTAAACAGCACCATCAGAGGTAATGAAGGTGCTACAAGGTTCCTCTGCTAAGCGACGCTAAACGGTTTTTAAAGTGATGACTTCTGAAGAGTGGTGCCATCAGGGCTCCTTCTGAACAGCTGGTCAGAAGCAGCCCTGATGGCACCAGTGGATTGACGTAAAAAGCCCAGGGGAGGATAGCATGAATACGCTTTGTCTGCGCTTAGGGTGTGGCATTACTATGAAAGATGCCACATAATGATTCACTGTGCACATATGGTAAGCACTATGCGCTATGCACTAGTGCTTGATTTGTAGATGGCACAGGGGTCGACCGAGGGACCATTTTTGACCGAGGCCGAGGACCCGGTCGACTCCTGAGATGGTATGAGGTACGAAATGAACAGGTGGGTTATTGCGGTAACCATCTTGAGGACTGGACCGTGATCACTGTAGTAATTCCTATTATCTTTACTTGAATTTCACATATCGAGAAGTTTACAATTTACGTATTCCAGCCAATCGCAGTCAGACTTGTTGACGATATAAGCGGGAAATAAATATCTTTTTTCATTGTAAGTTAAAGATTTATATTCTATAAACTCCACTACCATACGCTGGTATAAAAAGATGTAATCTGAAACATTGATGATGAATTCCACTGTTATCCTGTTGCGGCACCTGAATTTACTCTGATGGGAAATAGTAACCATAGTAACCTTGGTAACTGTAGTAACTACACTACTATTTACTCTGATGGGAAATAGTAACCATAGTAACCTTGGTAACTGTAGTAACTACACTACTATTTACTCTGATGGGAAATAGTAACCATAGTAACCTTGGCAACTGTAGTAACTACACTACTATTTACTCTGATGGGAAATAGTAACCATAGTAACCTTGGTAACTGTAGTAACTACACTACTATTTACTCTGATGGGAAAAAGTAACCATAGTAACCTTGGTAACTGTAGTAACTACACTACTATTTACTCTGATGGGAAAAAGTAACCATAGTAACCTTGGTAACTGTAGTAACTACACTACTATTTACTCTGATGGGAAATAGTAACCATAGTAACCTTGGCAACTGTAGTAACTACACTACTATTTACTCTGATGGGAAATCAATTAAGGACAAATTTCCGCAGTAAATCACATGGTATACTATACCTGCTAAAAGTAATAAAATGTACCATAAAAAGTGATTAAGGACGAATGTGAGTAGAAAAGGGCACTAATATTACGGTTGTACTTCAAGAAAACAACAATTTCAAGAAAACAACAATTTTATTTAGTATCAATTAAAGCAGACAAAAATATATTTCATATATATATAACTAGCACGAACTTTAGATCAGATATCCTAGGGGACTTGGAGTAGCAAATAAACTTCTTCACAGCAAACAACTGTAGTACTAGTAACCATAGTAACCTTGGTTAAACTGTAGTAACTACACTACTAACTGTAGTAACGTGGCACAGTAACGCTCCCATAACTTATACTGTAGTGTTATTGAACAGCTCAACAATAAACTAACTTACCGAAATTTATTTGAACGGACATTAACTGGACGCTGGAATAAAGTCTGTCTGTTTACGCTCCGTCCAAGTCAAAGTCCGTTGAACATTTTCCCCAAATGTATTCCAATTCTAACTTGTTGTCCAGGATATGAAATTGGCTACTTTTTAATTTCGGCCTACTCGATTTCTATTAAATCGGACTAGATTATATCAACATACTTTTGATGGTTTGAATGCCTTTGAGCGTTCATTTTAATATCCTATTAAAATTCTGTCCGTTCACGCAATGTCCGGTCAAATAACGTCCAATAAGGTATCAATATTGTACATGTAAAATAAAGTATCGTTAAAGAAGTGGTGTAGTGGTGAAGAAGACGGCTTCGCCACAATTATTAAGTTTCAACTTAACAGAAACATGTGAGATCGTAATCCGAGTAGTACTGTAATAACCAGGCCATGGTGACTATAGTAACCATGGTGACTGTAGTAACCATGGTTACTAGTCCAACCATCGAGTGAAGTTTCTGTGGAAACAGTGGTCATAGCTCACAGAGCTACAGATAATAATAATAGGTCCGTGTTGTTTGTTTGTGTAAAAGTTGTCAAGTTATTATGTGTGTTGTTTTAAATGTTATTTTCTATGTAGTGACAGCTAGATGTGTTTACAGACGAACAAAACAGTGCAGTCTTGCAACCTTACCATGGTTACTGTAGTAACCTTGGTAACTGCAGCCTTGCAACACTCCCATGGTTACTGTAGTAACCATGGTAACTGCAGCCTTGTAACATTACAATGGTAACTGTAGTAACCATGGTAACTGCAGTCTTGCAACACTCTCATGGTAACTGTAGTAACCATGGTAACTGCAGCCTTGTAACATTACCATGGTAACTGTAGTAACCATGGTAACTGCAGTCTTGCAACATTACCATGGTAACTGTAGTAACCATGGTAACTGCAGCCTTGCAACCTTACCATGGTTACTGTAGTAACCTTGGTAACTGCAGTCTTGCAACACTCCCATGGTTACTGTAGTAACCATGGTAACTGCAGCCTTGTAACACCCCCATGGTAACTGTAGTAACCATGGTAACTGCAGTCTTGTAACACTCCCATGGTAACTGTAGTAACCATGGTAACTGCAGTCTTGCAATACTCCAATGGTAACTGTAGTAACCATGGTAACTGCAGTCTTGCAACACTCCCATGGTAACTGTAGTAACCATGGTAACTGCAGTCTTGCAATACTCCCATGGTAACTGTAGTAACCATGGTAACTGCAGTCTTGTAACACTCCCATGGTAACTGTAGTAACCATGGTAACTGCAGTCTTGCAATACTCCCATGGTAACTGTAGTAACCATGGTAACTGCAGCCTTGCAACACTCCCATGGTAACTGTAGTAACCTTGGTAACTGCAGTCTTGCAATACTCCCATGGTAACTGTAGTAACCATGGTAACTGCAGTCTTGCAACACTCCCGTTTACTAAGCGGGGCTTTTACACTCATTAAGCTGGATTACAAATTTTTTGTTTATCCACCGATTTAGTTTCGTTTGTATAATGTAGTGATTTCTATACGGCTGAATTTGATGAAAAGTTTTGAGTTTTTCTAATTTCCTATTATAATTTTCATAATAACTGGTCACATAAAGAGGTTTAGTTTGATTTTAACTGTTTTTTAAAGCCAAAATAATAAAAACAGTCATAAGTTATAGAAACTGAGAAAGTATCACTTAAAGTAAATAATTTAGACTTTTTAAGGTCACGTGTACTCGTGGTGTAAATAGTACTATAATATATGTTTGCTACTGTATTATCAGCATTGGACATATTTTAATTAAAATTTTACAAATCTGCTGTTTTATTGAATTCTTAGATTTTATTTTCATAGGCGACAAACCTTATATTTCGGCTTTCTAAATTGGCAAAAGAATCACTAGACATTTATTTACTAGAACGCTTATTAATTTTATAACTGGTCAACTGATAAAGTGAGCTCTGTGCTTACAATTTATATTCACAAGTTATCAGTGTTTTAATTTACTTAATTATCTTTATATCGCACGGACTGACGGACTGATAACTCGCTTGAGTTAAGTAGTAGTAAACAGTAAAGTTTGATGCTATAATCCCATTCAAAATATGATTAATTATGGAAATTATAAACTTGATCGTATCAAACATAATTCAACCGAGAAGGACCTTTAAAACTGAAGACCACTATCATGACTTCGTTCATCTGCATCGATGACAAAAACTTTGAAACTCTTGATGTACGAAAGGAAATTATAAAATTAGTGTTTCTAGACTTCTTAAATAGGTTTCAAATACTAATAATTTAAAAACGAACCATTATAATATAATGTCCATTTTCTTGGTGGATTCCAAAATAACCATATGTAAAAACCGATTACGCTATCGAACAGCAAATATTTTACAAATTAACGGACGGATCGTTACTTTTCAGTTTTAATACATCAAAAATTTTCCAACTGAGACTAAACAAATATTTCCGCCGCAATAAACTTTATTAGATTGCCAATGTCTTGAGTCTTAATATTATCATATACCTTAGGCAATAGGCATTGTATGTTTTTAATGACGAAGCGTTGTACTGATGCTAGCATTTATTTATTTACTTACATATTTTATGTTATAACTGTGCTAGAAGTTTTATTTAGCCCAGTCCTCTAATGAATGTATTTAATATCTAGCTAAGAGTGAAGACCCCCAAAGAAATGGCGATGAGTTTCAAAGTGAAGCCTATACTGGCGATGATGTTGGTGTTTATATGTTGTTGTTTGAATGTGGTGCTGTTAGAAAAGATGGTGAAAGAGTCTCCTAACTGCACTGTTTTCGTCACTTTCTCAAGTAAGTCAAACACAAGTAAATGTTTTATCATGAATGAAATTAAGACAAATATCTCAGATTCTACTAATTATGTATATTGTATGTGCGGATTGCGGAAATATTCTGCCAAGCTGGAAATAGTCTAATAATTACATGTGTTATTACTGTTTTTATAAAATGCTAAAAAATTAGCAATATTCCAAATATTACAGGTTACATATTCATAGTGCTGCAGGGAATTATCTTGAACCCGGAATTTCTGTTTAACAACCAGATCCCTGCTCGAAACTACCTTATCATCACTATTCTCTTCTTCTCAACAAACCTCTGCAACAACGTAGCTCTCAGTTTCCAGGTACAGAAATTTCAATTTATTTTCATTTCATATTCATTTTCACTATTCTCAAATTTCACTGTCTCCAGTTCGAAATTTGTATTTTCATCCCACTTTCTCCTCACTTAAATATTGGTATTTCAGGTGGACATGCCCACAGTGGTGATAATAAGGTCCGGGTCCCTAGTGGCTAACATGATAGTTTCTATTATAGCATTCCGCAGACACTACACCCTCTCCAAATACCTGAGCGTTGCCACGGTAACACTGGGAGTTCTAATCTCCACCACCACCACCGCCAAACTCAAGTCCTCAGGTGAGAGTGGTGACATTAACACTTGGTTCATTGGTCTCCTTATGTTGGGGTACGGTCTCTTTGGATCTGCCACAACCGGCGTGTTCCAGGAGAAACTGTTTGCAAAGTTTGGGAAACATCCTAAAGAAGCTCTGTTTTACAGCAACTTATTGGGCATTGTCGGGTTTGTGCCCAACTACGGGAATATCCTCAACACCATCACGGAGTTCAACAACTCTCCTGATCTCGCAGGAATCCCGAGTCTGTGGGTCTATTGTCTGCTGAATGTGGGAATGCAGAATATTTGCGTGAGAAGTGTTTACTACCTTCTCTCCGAGTGGACCTCTTTATCGGTTACTCTGGTTACCACACTCCGCAAGTTTCTCAGTCTACTTCTTTCCATAGTTTTATTTAATAACACGTTCACTACAGAACACTGGATCTCGACTGTTCTGGTTTTCAGTGGCTCTGCTCTTTTCTCCGGTCTTATTTCTCTACCGGGGGAGGCGGCTTTAGAGCGGGTGCTAAGAGGCACATTTAGAGTAAGGGAACAGCGTCCTTTACCACTCTGATGTGGAATGGTTTAGTTTTGCGATCTTAGAGCAACAAGATTTAAATAAATGACAGTACCTGAGAGTTTATTAAAATTAAACTTAAAGTACTAATTTTGTCTTGTTTTACGTTTTATTTCCGTTGGGGGAAGAGGGTTGCAGAAGTGTTATTTCAGGGATCGTTCACTGTGAAGTGGGTTTGATTAAGCTAGTGTAATTTAACACAAAAGCCATGTGTAAAGCTGATTAAAACTTGGACGCCGAAGCCGCCTTAAGGGGGAAGTTTAAGTTGACCAAAAAGTGATGACGTAATAATATGTGAACGACCTCTTATCTACAATCAAAATTGATATCATAATAAGTTTGAAAAAGATTAGGATTTTTGTTGACGTCAGCAAAGCTTTGCCCGATGGCCATGGCCTGGCCCTTCCAGTTCCATCTTCCCAACTTTGTCATTTGTTGAATTTCGACTCAACGTAGCTGTAATTTGTTTGAATTAAAATGTTTGGAACTAAATTTCTTCTGGAATTTATTGTTGTTTTTAAAAAGCTTTAAATCCTATTTCTAGGCTTATTATGATTATAATGAATCACATGTGCTATTTCATGTTTTATTTTAATCCAGACGTATAATATATTATATTATGACTTTTTTTGTTTTACTATTTCATATTTACAAATATTTTAAGTTTATTTAACGAACATATTCGTAAAATGCATTTATGACACGGATATTCAATTTTAAGTGTATTTCAGCCGATATTGGTTTTTAAATCCTTATCTTGTGTATTAGTACCTAAAGTAGTATTAAAACCTACTTTAAAGATATAATAGATGTAATTAAATTATGTCATTTTGATTTTTGCTTTAAAATTACGAGAATTGCATTGTTTGTTGATTTGACATTAATTTAGAATTTATTACACTTGAGAAAATATTTTATTTATTGGGAATATTATACAGTATGTAGAAACGCACTATATTTATGGCCAGTTATATCTTCATTTATACGTGGCTGGACAGTTGGTGGCAACTAATTCTGGTCACTTCTTGATCGTTATTCATGCACTGCGTTCATGATTATGATAAAATTGAAATTGAATGTGTATTTTTATTATCTTTTAATTTAGAATTCACCCAAAAGTAAAGACTGAAACAATAAATATGAAAATTTCGTATGTCTTACAACTCAGCTTCAGTCGGTTTGTCATGACAAGAAATGTTTGATACATTTTAGAAAGTTCCTTTTTTTAGGATAACCATTCTATTCGATTTTCGCAGTTAAAGAATATTACTGTTATTGAAAAGATTAATTTTTAAGTAGCTATATAGCATCTACTTAACTTATATCATGTATATTGTCATCGACAAAATACGATATTTTTGAACTATCTTTTCATCTTAATTTTCAACCAACCTTTCCACTATCAATATATCGAATTCAATGAAGACACATGTGTATATTCTGGAATATGTTAATATAATATATTCTGGAATATATTTAATTCTTTAAGAAACGCCCGTATTTTCGAAACATTAATAAAATAAAGGAACATATTTTGAGCTCCTGTTTTAATCCCATTCTCACATTGTTGAAAAAATAAAAACACAGATTGCAGAACTCATCCAATTTTATAATTATATTTGTTTAGTGTGAACTGATAAACGCTGTACTGAGCTTAGATTAGTGTAGTTTAATTTAATTTTTATTAAGTTCAATTCAGGAGTGAGTTTTAAAGATTGGCTAAGTTAAAGTACAGTATTTCCCCCTCTATAATTAACGGATGCTTATTTTCGCTGCTTCAAATTTAAAGGGACGAAAATTGTGTCCAAAAAACGCTTTGTAGTTATAGTTGTGCAATGTGCAGGCGGCGTAAAGAGGGGGAATACCGTAATCCAATTAATGATGGCTTTATGTATCCGAATTTGTGATGGACGAGACTGCTGCTTGGATAAAATCAAGTTTGGTTTGTTTTATTAGCCTGTCATGACGTTCCGACGTAAAGAGAATCGGATGGCCGCCTACAAGATATAGATCTCGAGTTACCGACAGGGTATCTAGGCTGCACTCTGTCCCAAGCAACATTCTGAACGAAGTCTCGGGTGTTAGAATTACGAGTGTACTGCTGGTCGTGGAATCTATAAGTATTCGGGCAGTACCGGACTTGCTTGATGGATTTAGGCCGTTCTAGCCGGACGCTCTCTTTGAGCCGTACATCCGGTTCTCGAGCCCTGTAGTCGTTCAGGTAAACTGATTTATAGATGTTGTTTTGCGTCCGAGTTGCTGGTGTGGCTCTCGGCCTAGCAGTCACATTCTCGACAACTACCTCACTTTCTTCATCGGGCTCGTCCGTGGAGAACATGTTCGTACTGTTAGTCGGTACATGTATACCATCTCGATGCCCTGAGGGCTGGTTGGTTACAGTCATATCTTCCTGAAGGAAGGAAACTGATTTCCTGGGTATATTCTTATCGTGAGAGGTCCGGTGTTTTGATTTAGCATAGTGTAAATAGTTTGGTCGGTTATTAGATGCCTGAGGTGAAGACGGAGGGTCGCTTACAAACTTTTGACCGACGATTGCGCTGCTAGATGCTTTGAATTTGGGTGAACTGGGTGGGGCCGATGCTCCATTTGAATGATCAGGCGAATCGGACCTTTGCATTTTAGCCATAACCTCACACACGCTGATTCTTTGCTTCAAGTTCATATCCTTCTCTTTTGAACTCTGGTTCGAGCGAGAGTGCTGATTTTCGCGAACCTGAGAATTCCTTGGCTTCCACTTTCGATTTTCACCCTGGTACAACCATTTCTGATTTACTGTCATTTTCTTGGCCTTAATGAAATTTTCGTGATTTATTTCTTTCTGGTTTCCCGTATCATTCTCATTCTCATTATTTTCTTTTTTGATTTTAATTTGATCTTTGACGCAACCGGGATCATCAGCTGATGTCTGCCGTTTACTGAGAGAAGAATGTGCAGATTTTGGTCGATTAACCGTTGACAGGTGTTTTCCGAATGGCTTGTGGTTCAGTTCCCGTTTTCCAATTCCAACTGCGGATTTTACCCGTCGGTTACATCTTTGAGGAGGCTCAGGTAAACAGAAACCTTCCCTGTCCAAAGTTTGATCTGTTATCATCCGGTTTTGCGATGTATTGTTTCCCCTAATCGTGAGATCCACCGGCGAGGGCGTCATGCCTGAATAAGAATAAATTTATCAACATTGCCGAAGCATGAGTGCAGTTAAATATGCTGTCGATATAACTTCAAATATAACGATTGATATTACTATTACGTGTTATTAGCATTAATAATCTTAAGGCGTAAGAATGAAATCAAAAGTCAAAATTCCGCCAACTCAAACTGATTTCGAAATCAGAAATGGAACCAATTCCGAATTAAACGACTCCTCGGTCTTTGTAAATATTATTCTAGGTTAATGACTTGCAACATGGTATGGTTCTGTCATTTTACATTTAGGATCGAACTTAGTTACTATTACTATTAAGAATTAAAAGCATGGCGATGCGATCTACCAACGATATTACGATAATAATTACACTACTAGTGTTAAAGATTAAGAAGCACGATACACAAGTAATAATATACAGTATAGTCAAACTTGAGCTAGTTGATCAATTAGGTAGGCAAGAAATAGTCACTGATTTATCGAGCGAAACCAAATATTGACATATCAGATATCTATATTGTGCTAAAAACATATTCAGTTTTAAGTTTAGGTATAATTCGATATTGGAGTTCAACAGCTGGAACAAAATTGGCAAAATTACAACACAATGACGCAGCAAAAATAACTGCCTCCGCAAAGTTATTTATCTTCACTTTAAGATTTGAAATAGAATCGGAAAAAGCTGCGCGCGCTGCGCGCATGATTCGTAACACTAACACCAAAACAAGTGTTCGAGTTTATTGTTTATGTACGTATGACGTAATATATAAACATTTATCAGTCCAATTATCGTTACTACTACTAGGTACTAGCTTAAAAGATATTTTTAAGTTGCCTAAATTCAAATAAATGCATTTCGTTCATTGAAGGCAAAAGTAAAACGTAAAATTAAATAAAAGTAAAACAGTTCCATGAAATCTGCATAGTATTAGTTATTTGTTATTGGTTATGAATTTTGATCATTGATCATGCAAGACTTTAAATGTAAATTGAATTGTTGCTTATTAACAATTTGTTGATTCTATTATTGGATTATTGATATTCAAATAGGTAAACTTGAACAATGATTACAAGTAGTATTTCAACAATGTGCAATGGAAAAGATTGCATGATATAATTGACTCGAAACCCAAACAGAAGACTATAAGAATTCACCAAAGAATAATTGTACTAAATCATGATCAATAATGTAGACAGTGTACTTGTATTTGTAGCTGTAGTACAAATTTACAAATGCAGCGTAAACATAAACCTAAATACGTGCAGCTAAGATCATAAATTACGTTAAGAGTTACGGTAATGAGTATGAAGGCGTTTCAAGTGTCTTCAGCAATTCCCGGAATTCTCATCTCTTATTTCAAACTGAAATAAACAGAGTACTGTAAGTATAATCTCGAAGTATTACATTTTCACGTTCCTAATTCCTATCCTTGATCCTTGATTTAACACTTAACAGCAAAAATTCCAACATAACACTAACTGTCCCGGGTCCCCCTCACTCTTTGTTTTATAAGTTTCAGGGTATATAAATGGCATTGGTATTGTCAATTAAATACTTTATTAATATTAGTGATCAACTGAGTTGTGCATGAATAATTAGATTCGTCTTTTCATACATAATAATAATATATATTGTCACATAACATTTTTGTAAGAACTTGAGTATATCTGAAAAATGCGCTAAATGTTACCTCAACTTTGAGTCCAACTCGGCGCGCGTCTTAGTAGGTTATAAAACTCAAGCCATCGCACATCGATCCATTATCGAACAATGCACCTAAGGCTAACCTCGAACATAGGTTAACATTATTATATAACAATGTTTGCTTTAAAACCGAGTAGCTAAGCTCCTAGGGACTACGGGTGGAAGACGAAAAATTGAAATTCCAACAGCATCTTGTTCCCTTCATTGTGCTGATTCCGGGAAGCATTCTGTTTACGCTCTCATCATTCTGTAGAATGAGATATCGTTCATTTGAAATTGGGTAATTATAGGCCTGTCAAGGATTGCAGCCCAATTAAGTGCTGATCAATTGCAGCTCCTTGTGCCATATAACTATTAGGGGATAACTTGTTCAGTGTCATCGAAAACGTAGGGTTGCAAGGTTTTCCCTTCGATTTTCATCCATAAAAAATCCTTTTATTTTCGATTCTCCGGGCCAGCTGTCTGCTGGGTTTCAGAAGGTGGTACCAGATGCTGCTATAATTGAGCGCTCAGCTAATTGGGTCCAATTTCACACGAAACACTATATTATTCCATATAAGGCCTGATCAAGTAACTTGAGCTCTGGTAACGTCACAAAATATCCTAGTCGGCATACGACACGTTACGATTGTGATCATGGATCACGTGCTCGATGATTTACGAATCAAGGTCACGTGATAGGACCGACTGTCACGTGACCTCAGTTATCCCTTATATGGCACAAGGAGCTGCAATTGATCAGCTCTTAATTGGGCTGTAATCCTTGACAGGCCTATAATTACCCAATTTTAAATGAACGATATCTCATTCTACAGAATGATGAGAGCGTAAACTGAATGCTTCCCGGAATCAGCACAATGAAGGGAACAAGATGCTGTTGGAATTTCAATTATTCATCTTCCACCCGTATAGTAGTCCCTACTAAGCTCCTCTCTTGACACACGCTTTCTTAAGCATGCTCCCGAAAAGCTTTGGTTATGGTAACGACTACAGACTAGGATTATTTGACAGCAAGTCTAGTAGGACTAGGAACAATAACATCCTCCGATCCCTCATATTCAGCTGGTATTTTTTATGTTGAAAATGATAACATCCACTCTGATTTGTGATTAAAGAGTGACATATCTGATCGAACGTTATTTGACCGGGCATTGCGTGAACGGTAATAATTTTGATCAACGGATATTGAAATTTAAAATCATTATGAACGCTCGAAGTTAACGGGTGATACTCGTAAAATATTTGTTCCATATAACTCGGCGCGCGTACTGGTAGGTTGTAAACCTACAAGCTCGAAGGCATTCATTTAATGTTTAAGGTATTTAATTTAAGTTTAACTACTATTATATTCTACTTGTGAAACAAGCGCGTCACGCAGTACGCGTACGTATACACATGGCTATTGGCTATGTAAAGTATTATTATACTTCGCCGCGCTGGACTTTATTTGAACGGACAACAAGCGCGTCACGCAGTACGCATATACAATATACAATATACACATGGCTATGTGAAAATAAGTACCAACTATGAACTAACAATTTATTGGTTGACGATGTCAACCCATCGAGATCGTTGCTCTGCGAAGCAGAGCAACGATCGACGATTGGTTGCAGGAATGCGAAGCAAGACTGCTAGTTCGCGCGGCGCGTCGAAGCGGCGAAGTCCTCCAAACAATTTACTATTAACAATTAAATTATTAAACTGGGCGCTCGTCTAAATTTCTTCGAAGTAGCGCGCGCCACTATCTTCGCGAAATACATTTGCCCGATGGCAAGTGCTACAAAGTAGCGCGCGCCGGGCCAGACCATTAACAATGGTCTTATAACGGGTGATACTATGTACTCGTAAAATATTTGTTCCGTCGATGAGTCCAACTCGGTGCGCGTCCTGGTAGATTATAAACCTTCAACAATGGTCAAGTACAGCCGCGCACGAGTGCGTGGCTGTATCTGATCTCAGCTTTTGCCACAATCAACAATACTAGTGAAACGACAATGGGGGTCACAACTTGATAAAATCTTATTCAGATCACGATATCAGATATCGATCCACGCTGTTTTCATTTCCAATTTCGGTATGAATTGTCCATTGTTAATGAACTAGCCCGGCGCGCGCTGCTTCGCAGAGCAACGATCTCGTCATGCGTCAGGGATTGAAATAAATACTTTCAATACGCGCATTCATGCGAGCCGCGCCAAACGAAATTGATGACAATGTGCACTAATTTGGTTAATCTAACACATGTACTGTGGAACTGAGGGCCGCGCACTTCTACTGTATTGCTGGCGGCAAACTTACGAATCAAGGTCACGTGATAGGATTAGCGATCACGTGATAGGACTGAATTACACGTGACCTCAGTTATCCCTTATAGGGCCGCTCCTATTACATATTAAATCGATCACCCAAATTTTTAAGAAAATTGTTGTGAAAATGGAAAAGGCCCGTCGGGTATGAAATTTATCTCCATCGTTGTATTTTTGGACGCTGATTCCGAATCACCCCCCATGACGTTGCTCTAACCAGAGCCCTCTCGCTTGCAGTAGCGCGCGACCGCCGGAGGCGGCAAAGAGTTGCTCTAACCAGAGCCCTCTCGCTTGCAGTAGCGCGCGACCGCCGGAGGCGGCAAAGAAACAAGTGAAACAAGCGCGTCACGAAGTACGCGTAGGCACATGGCTATGTGAAGGCAAAGAGGGCTCTATCCATGGCCACATCTGGCACCACAAATCGTGGTGCCAGATTTCCTCCCATATTTCTGATGCCGCGCGGGACGTGTCAGTCATTTTTAGTCATGTCCGTGGATTGTGATTGTAATATCGGAAAACAATATTTTCTCATTGGATTTGATTTTTGTAGAGAGCTAATATACCTTCTATGATCATGCACTCCATTTAACAAATTTTGCTTGTTCCTTTGTTTGTTGCAATCATTCAGTTGATCATTCGGCGGATGATTCAAAGGGCCGGGACATATTTTAATGTTAAATTCTCAATAACCAGCAGACTTGTTACCAGTTACCTTACTACACTTTTGTCATTTGCAATTGGACTTTGGATTTATTTTCTCATTGGATTAGATTTTTGTAGGGAGCTAATATACCTTCTTTGATCATGCACTCCATTTAACAAATTTTGCTTGTTCCTTTGTTTGTTGCAATCATTCGGTTGATCATTCGGCGGATGATTCAAAGGGCCGGGACATATTTTAATGTTAAATTCTCAATAACCAGCAGACTTGTTACCTGCAGTTACCTTGCTACACTTTTGTCTTTTGCAATTGGACTTTAGATTTATTTTCTCA